ATTATTCTTTGACTTAAATTCACTCTTCAATATTTCCTTAGTACTTTTGCGTATTTGTCTATTCTCGGCCACCCTGCTCCCCGTCAACACTAAAAAGCGCTCATAGTTTTGAATGGAGTTTCTGTGTGAAATCAGTTGTAAAAATAAAGCTGTAATGGGGTGCCATATGGCATACAGTGGATATGAATTAAAACTATGAGTTCTGACTTAACCCGTGTTTAAAATACCCAACTCTTTTTCGCCTCGATGGACTGACTGCACTTAAGAGAAAAACTAGGTGTGCAAGAAACTTCCTTTTCTAACATGAAACAAAGCTCTTTAAGGATAATTTGTGATCGAAATATCAAAACAAAAGCCTTATAGGTGATTGAATAACAAAAAATGGTAATAAAGCGTTCTCTTTTGTGGCCGAGAACTGGGCCCGCTGGCCGATAACTGGGCCCACGAACGAAGTCTCCATTTTCGTTATCACTCGGGAGAAAACAGTGTTGAGCAGTCGATAGCTTTACATGGGTAAACTGAATGCTGGAGCTAGTTGTGTGTGAAATTGATTATTGTCGCGTCTTTTGCGTCTGTTACAGTAGAACGAGAACGAGCCGGAACATATTTACGTTGGCGCTTCATGGCGTCTGTGAAACGTAAAGGAGGACCTCAACGGTGCAGTTCAGTGGAATGTATTTAATTACGTTGGCACCCTTCGGCGTCTGTGAAACGTATAATGAGGAGAAACACATTACGTTGACGCTTCTTAGCGTTTGTGAAACGTAAAGGAGGACCCCAGCAGCTCTACTCAGTGGCTTGTTTTTAGTCAATTACGTTGGCGCCTTTTGGCGTCTCTGAAACGTACAATGAAGAGATAGACATTACGTTGACGCTTCTTGGCGTTTGTGAAACTTAAAGGATCTCACCAAAGCACTTTGGTGGCATGTTTTTAATTTCGTTGGTGCCCTTTAACGTCTGTGAAACGTACAATGACGAACAGACATCTTTGGTCTTACTTCGCGACCGTCCATCGTATATTTGGTCTAGAATCTTTGATGCTTTATGGCATTTTACGTGTATGTACTGAAAGATTTTAAAATTAGGTGGCCAGTTGTTTATTTTTGCCGTTCGTTTCCTACTCTTTATATTGTCAACACTTTGTATAATTTCGGCACATTGCATTGTCAGCATACTCGGTGCCCGCTCGCAGCTGTTCCCTTGAGACGTCTCACTTTTTATATTGTCCTTATTCTCCCTGACCTGTTACACTTGTGACCTTGGGTAGAAACAGAAAACATCAGTTTCAGTAACCACGAGCGTATAGCCTGAATAAATTTGCGAGTTTCCTTGTATATTATATTTTTCTTTGGCTTTTGTTACCCCACACTTTGAGTCGTGCTCGGGGGGTTCCTGACCCTCATCCAGTCTTCGGACGGTGTCCTGACTCGACTCAACTGTGGGGTTCCCTCCCAACCTCCCTCTTTCGCAGGGTCTTTCCTTCTTTTTATCAGGGTCGTAACATGGTATATGGGCTCAGGGCTCAAAGCCCAAAATATGACTGGGATCAGGGCTCAGAGCAAAGGGCTCAGGGCTCAGAAGAATGGGATCAGGGATCACAAGGCTTTTGAGCCCGAATCAGGGATCAGATTTATTACACGGTCTAAAATCTCTTATCACACTATTTTTTCCGCTTAATAAGGTTTGTGTCCATAAATTTCCTGGCCGAGGTACATTTACCTATTCTTGCTTCCGGCTGGCAGCAGTTCCTGTCGTACGAAGTCCTGGTTGTTTGACGAAAAACATGGTATCATATTCTTAATTTATTAATAGTTGAGGGGCACCGTAATATGAATCTCAAGTCACTTTTCTCGCTTTGTAACGCAACTCCTCAACGCGCTGTCAACGCCAGAAGGCAGAGAAAGCGATTTATACATATCTTTTTGCGAGCGGGGGAAGAAGAAAAAGGACAAAAAAGAAATCCTGTGACAGAGAAAGGTACGTAAATACTTCCTTGACTGATTTACTCCTGGCAACCGCAGGGGTCCAAGCATAGAGTTTTTTTCGGCTGATAAAACATAACAATACCGCCAGGACAATAGACAAACCGATTCATTGAAAGCGGAATTTACTGTAAGTGCCGATTGCCCTCATCGCCTCAAGGCAAGTCACAAGGCGACTATAAATCGAGGTTCGTATTTTTGACCAGTAACTTAACTCTTAAAAGTACTTAAATAAATAATTAGAATGGACGTCAAAAGTAGAATACAAAAAGTACAATGAATTCGCGCGCTTAAAATGTTGCAAAATAAGTGCTTTCTCACAAATTAATAAACCTGCTCTAATTACATGGAGTTTTAGGGTTATCTCGAACTCTGATGGGAAACCGAGATCAGTTCACACCTAGCTACCAGTACTAGTATTGGGCCGGGAAAGTAAAGGACTGTATCATTACTTTTTACTGTATCACTGATAAACGCAAGCTTGTATGATAAACAGTCTCAAATTACAGTGTAGAATTAGTGAAAATAAGTGGAACCCCAAAGACTTACCTCGGTGAAATAAAAGTAACAAAACCTTTATAGTTTATTTTCTTTAGTTTTCTTTATAAAATAAACGATTGAATTGGTTAAAGGAATGTTGAATACTAGGTACAAGTAGCAGAGTCTGCAGGCATTTAATATATTATAGCACTCGGCATGAAGGGCCACCAGTAGGGGGGGCCCACTATTTGATTTTGAGTCGGGGATGGGTTATTTTTTTCAAGCAAGATTTTTTCAGACCTCATTCGCAGTGGCTATTTCATTTTGCACAAAATTTACAGACTTATGACAATAGGCCATTTATACGACGAAAAATAAGACGCGAACTTTCTGTATAAACGGCACATTTCGTGTAAAATAAGACACGACAGCTAAGACGCGTCTTATTAGATAAGACATGCTCGTATAAATGGTACAGTTAGTGTCTTATTTAAGACGCGTCCTATGTAAGACGCGTCTTATTTTTCCTCCCTATAAATGGCCCCTAATATTGATCTACAAAATTTTTGGGCCCTTTCGGCTATTCGGCCTCGGCTTTTATGTAATGGTTGGCCCCGAAAGGCCACCTTAGATTTGGACCCTGAATTTTTAGTGGTGTGAGAACACCGCTCTGAACGACTACGTATCGGCGGCCCAGCTACCTTTTCAATAGAGAGGCTCCACCAATCCTCGTTTATATCTTATTTATACCGGTCGTCAAAGCCGTTACACACAGAGAAAGCTGGGTCCAAAGCACCGGAATGGCTTCGAAAGTCGCACGGCAAGAGTAAACCAAGTCCTTACGGCTATTCCATGGTAACAAATACAAGTTTACGTGTGTTGTGACCGAGAACTGGACCCCACACTGTACTTTCAATTTGTTTTGGCTTGTTTTCTCCCTATACGTGCTTATTCTGCTGACCATTACAGTCTTGAAACGACATCCTATAATATCCAAAAACCTCGGCTCCCACGCCCTGACGACCTTAGGAAGCGCCTGAGTAGTTCAGAGAGAAAAAAATGCGAACAAAACGTTCTTAACATCCTAATACCAACCTACGATTTCTCACAGTATATAGGTGGTTTCTCAGCCTTGTTATTTGGACGGCGCCCAATAAAGTTTGTTTACCATTTACGCTGAACCGTAAGTTCATTGTTTCGGCAAGTGGTAAGCATAGTATAGGAAAGGTGAATTTCATCCCGGAATAGCATTTATTAGAAAATGCTAAAACATTGAATAGTGGTTTTCGCGCGCTCTGATTGGCTACTCAAACTCGGGCTATCCAGTGCTATTCACCTCCGAACGACGCCAAACTCGCATAAGTTTAATACTGAGGAAAACAGCTTTCCGGTTTGCTACCAAGACAAACGAATAAATTTCACCAATAAACGAAGAAACTGTTCCTAACATCACGAAAAAGGCACCAAAATTCGTTTTGGCAGTTTTACAGGTAACTTGAATTTATCGATGGAAGAAGTGAAAAATTCTTACTTTATTTAGCCCACAGCGGACTGAAGTGGACTGTTATCTACTTAGAGCTCTGTCATTTCAAGCAAGATTGCGAAGTTCGCGTCTAAATATTTTAAGAAACGGTCCAGATAAGAACGATAGCAACAACGGCAACGAACATGTTGGAATGCAAAAAAAGGTGCTAACTTTTCTATTGTCTGTACTTACTTCTGATTGGCTTAAACAGCAAAGTTAACAAAACTTCATAAAGTAGTACATATATTCACCCTTACTTTCCAACCATCTTCCATATAACAAAGTGTGGTCTCAGTTTGAATAACAGTCTCAGTTTGAATGACAAAGAAATCCTATGTGGGGAACATGTAAAATTGTAAACTTTTGTTGGCTATTGTTTTCAACTCTTGTGATTGGTCAAAATCTCTTAACACAAAAAAACACCATTTCAAAGTGAGTGTAATTGCATTTTATTGCGTAAACGGCCTTCATGTAGGTTTATGCATTCTCTGTGTAAAAATGAGAACATTTCTATGTGGGGAAAGCACCGTTGCCGCATAACAAAAGAAATTGCTATCCACCTTACCCGGATCATCACTTAACACTGATGATTATGAAACATCTCGGCAACATTGAACCCGCAATAAATTCAGCCTTGATTGTCATGGTGCTGGCAATAGGAGTCACAATCCAAATAATCGAAGCACTGATAACATCGATTGATAACATTACTTGAATGGTGAATTCAAAAACATGGCATGCTGGTACTCTACCCTCAATAAGGAAAGAAAATACGTTTGTTATACTAAGTAATCGAATCGATCAAAAACACACGGCAACGGTAGCTGAAAATAAATAAACTTTTCACTTTAAAGAAATACGCACCTCGAAATAATTCACCTGATTTGCCAGCAGCCACTTTAGAATGTTAGTTAAATTTTAATAGTTCAACAGTATGAACAGGAGAAAATTACGCGTATGATTGTTATCCTAAAAAACGAAAAACACATTTTAGTCGTCTGACTTATTAAACAGCACAAAGACAAAGACAGCAGCGGAAAAAAGTCGCCAACTCTTTTCTCACCATGCATATGCATGAACCTGAGGTTAGCACGAATTTTCATGAATTTTCGCAGCGTTCATAGACCTTCAGTCCTATAGATCACGTAAGGGAAGAATTTCAGATGCATCACGGCAAAACCGGTAAAAAAAACCGTAACTGGAAAAACCAGTCACGCTGGTTTAGTCACGTAAACCCTATTTTATATTTCCCATATCTTTGTTTCAGTTTTATCGAAACTGCTTTCAGCAAATCCCACGAAATTATAAAATCTTTATCATAATTAGAAAGCTCTTCTTTAATCCAATTAATGCGGACCCATGGGAAATACACACGCCTCCTGGAAATAAAGAGGGGGTATTTAGTTTTAATAAGTACTCACTTTGCAGCCTGCTAGGGCTGAATTGCATGAATATACAAAGATAGTATAATAACCGGTGATAACAATGATAACTATAAATATGATGATATAATAACTACTAACTAATAACTCATATGTAAATATTTGCAGTATATACACTAAAATTACAGATGATCGCCGTAAAAAGTTTTAATAAAGCTACGTGCAAGAGTTCTACCGCTTAGACATCGATTGGATAAACGCTTGGTGCGCATCTTAGGTTGAGTAAATTCACGCTGGTTTCTAAGATTATACCTGCTAACATTCTTTGCTGGTGGTAAATGGTGCAGCTTACGCGCAAGATCAGATGCGACTAATTCAAATAGTTCGTTGCACTGTTCAATGCGTCTGTCCTTAAGAGAACTCACGTTGTACAATGTGAGGTTGTCAACATATGGAAGGCCGGGAGACATTATTTAGAGCACGCGCTTCTGAATGCGCTCTAAGTCGTCGCTTAAATACGCTGGAGATTCATGGTGATATAATGGTGCGCCGTACTCTGATAACGGCCTAATGCAGGTATGATAGAAGTTGATAATATCACCGACGTGACCTTGGCGCGCTTAAGCAAAATAAGAAAAAACATTCGCTTATTGGCCTTCTTGATTACTGACTTTCACTCTGACGGGAGTTGTGACTGTTGCAACCGTGGCGAGTGTTGTGATTGTGACAAGTGTTCTGACTTTGACAAGTGCTGCGACTTTGACGATTGTTTTGACTGTGACGACTGTTGTGTTATTACTGTGACGAATGATCTCACAGGTGTTCTGACTCTGACGAGTGTTTCCATGATCTTATGTGACTGTGACTGTGGTCAACGTAACCGTTAATCAACTTTCCGTTAAAGTCTTGCGACTTTTGGTCGCTCATTAGGGGGGGAATTTCATATATCCCATGACGCTTCGCGGCTAATTTCTATCTTCTCTTCGCGGCTGAAAAAGAGTTCGAGGGTTTCGAGGGAGATTTTCAATGAACTGAATTTCAAGATGGATCTCAACAAAGGTAAGTTTCAATGAGCTCTGTTAATCTTTGGTGTCTGATTGATAATTTAAAATGCTTCCTTGGTCATTTCACGCATTATTGCTCTCGTTTAGGACTCTGTTAAACCATGCTGTTTTAACTCGCAAGTGAATGCTTATTTAGATGACCTACAATATCGAGAACTGTCTTTAATTTAGCGACGTTTTGCTATAATAAATTATTCATATCGGCGGACAAGGGGTGCTTGATACTAGTTCCACGCTCCGACCTCTTTCGACCTAGCGATTTTTATGGGTTTGACCGTTTTGAAATATCGCGTTTTCTGCCCTTTCTCAGCTAGAATGCTAGTCGACGGTATCAATTTCGCTATGCTAAGTCCTGCGAAGATGGGGCATTTTTCCTTGAGTTCGCTCTTTTTTCACTTATCGAAATACATATATTAGCCCATGAAGATATGATGAATGTGTAATTTCAATGATTTCTAGAATTAAAACGTTTTTGTTTCATTTTAGGTAAAATTGGTTTCTCATTCTGGCTTCCGGTCGCAAAGGCGCGTGGCGAACTTGAAATGTACAGGCCAGCATACTCATGAAGAATTATGGAGATCAAGGAGGGTGTTATCCGTCTAGGCCGTAGGCCGAGGAGGATAACACCCTCCGAGATCGCCACAATTCTTCATATGATACGAAAGCCGAATTCAATGATTGCTTTATTATTCATTCAAAATATTTCCTCAGATGTCGCCCTCCGAGTTATCTTCTTGCTGTTTTTGCTATGCTTTTACCCATTATTTCGCCCAGTTCCAGCTGCAGTTCTTACTCTTGAGACGAGTGAAGTGTCCGCCATTTTAGTTTTTACAACGAAAACAACTCAATCTCGTCCCCAGGTATTCTCGGTTAACGGTGCATTAACCTGTAGAAGGCTGCATTTTTGACATTTCCTCGTTAAAGACAAAATTCTTCCAAATTTGGTCGTCAGTAACTGATTATGGTGAATTATGCGTGTGCTTTTAGCCAATCAAAATTGGGGAGATACTTTGAAAATGTGTTCAAGATCGGAGCAATATAAGGGAAGCCTACACGACTTTTGCCTCATGCCAAAATCAAAATGCTGCTCGTTCCAATAAAGTTTTTTTCCTCTGCTGGGTAGATTATGCTCTGGAAGGTTCTACAGCAAATGTGATTTTAGCGGGGATTTTAGCCGCATGTTTCACACTGAGAGGTCATGACACATATCGATTTACTGTGGTTATTGTTTTTGGTCGGCAGGATTTGCCCTCTGATGAAAGCGCATTTTCTTTGACCTCTTTTGAGGCGTAAAGCTTTTTATTACGGCTGAACAAGGGTTCCAGTTTTCTCCAAAGTGCCTTCTGGATCTGAATAACTAAGCGATTTTCTTTAGTCCGTGAATGTAATGTTTTTCTTCAATGCTGTATCACGCTGGGCCCAGCTTGTTAGTTTTGTTTGGAGAATGTTAAATTATTACGGATAGTGATTTACGGGTCGTGTGTACTCTTGCAATAAAAGTGACACTCAGTAGAGCGGGCGTACAAGTAATATCAAGTAATACAAGTAATACAAGTAATACAAGTAATATCATCACGACTGTGCCATTCTTCGGTGGTCCAACTTTATTACCTCTTGCGTCTTTGGCTGTGCGTTTTGCGACTACTGGGAAGCCTTCGCACAAACAAAACCTGCTTAAGACATCAAAGACTGTTGAAACGTACAACAAATGTCTAGTCTTGAAAGATCTTCACTTCAATTAAAACTCTGTTGTTTTCGCATAGATCTCTGAGATCTTTAAAACTCTCTCCGCAGCTGATGTTTTGATTCTCGAATTAGCAGCGGTCTGTTGCTTTTGCGTTTCCGGTCTCATTCCGACTTCCGTCATCGAGTGCTGTGGTTCACATAGAACGAAGTCACGTGGTACAAGTTTCCTCCCTTGTCCTTTCTTTTACTCGGCACTTCGTGCCTCGGTCGCCCTCCGGGCGACGCCCTCCGGGCGACGTGCCGTGCGCCAGCGAGGATATGGCTTGCGGTTATTGATTTTCAAAAGTCGATCTGGGTCAGATAAGAAGCGAAGAAATCGTTTACAGTAGATTTATAAAGATCCCATTGGGCTAATTAATCGTGCCAAGCGACAGGTATAGACATTTTTCAAGGTAAGTAATTCACACGAAACTCCTCTGGCCCCTGTGTACACCGCAGTGGCTTTCGTTGTTAGATAATCTGAACGACGATCGCTTCTCCGAAGTCCGTGATTGGATTACTAACGGTGTGGATGTAACCAAGTTTTTTAGACCGTTTAAGGGTAGCTACAAAGGGAAGAATTACGAGTGCAGTACTCCACCGCGTTGTGTTCTCCCCAATCATATGTCATGCAAACCGTTTACCTCGTTTATATTTAATACGCTCATGGACCGTTTGCGTTCTGGGGCTATTTCCTTGTGGGGTAAAGTCGGAGAATGCACCCCTCCTCACCTCGTTTTACCCCTCACTGTAGAGCCAAGCAAGCCGCGTCTCTGCAACGATGACAGATTTCTTAATCTTTGGATTGAAGACCGTCCATTTTCCCTGGGTAGTGTCCAACATTTACCTAAGTATGTTCATAAAGGCTTTTACCAGACAGTGTGTGACGACAAGTCAGGATACGATCACATAAAACTTCACCCCAACAGTCGAACCTACTTTGGTTTCCAGTGGGGAGGCTGGTACTTTGTGAGTGAGTGTATCCCTTTTGGCTGGAAATCTTCCGCTTATGTCTATCATACAACTGGTCTTGTCGCTTCACATAGGCTTCGTTCGTGAACATTCCTTCTTCATTGTACATTGACGATCGCCATAATGACCAACTGACATTTCCAGCTGGCTCCTTGCCATCCGCCTATCGAGCCCTCGCGTCAACGGATGAAGTGAATTTTGCTCTGGCCCGCGCGGGTATTTACCTCACGTGCTACGTCTTAACTTCCCTTGGCTACTTCATCGGCCTGGCTAAGTCTGTACTCACCCCTCAAAAGCAGGTGCCATACCTTGGGTTCATTATCGATTCAGAACGACAGGCGTTTATTTTGTTGCCGCATAAAAAGGAAAAGTTTATTCGACTCGTCAAAGAAATTTTGCCTCGCGATTGCTTAGATCTATTAACTCTGCAGAGGCTTAGCGGTAAATGCATGTCCATGAGTCTGACAGTTCCAGGCGCGAGGCTTTATGTTAACGAAATTAACCTAGCTATCTCTGGGGCTACCCGCTCTTCGCGGCCGGTGAAAATGTCTCCAGCTCTGAGGAAAGAAATTGAACACTGGCTCTTTCTTGCGTCTTGGGACGGCTTTCTTCCCTGGCGGTCTGAAAAGCACACACATGTCAAGCTATTCTCCGACTCATCTCACTTTGCTTGGGGAGGTGCTCTAAGCCCAAATGCCATTGAGGTGAACGTCTATGATTACTGGGATGCCTCGGTATTACAGGCCGATATCGCTACAAAAGAGACCTTGGCTCTAAACAACGTCCTTGAGTCATTCGCGGATTCCATTAAAAACTCATGGGTCGACGCCTTCGTCGACAGCATGGTTCTGGTCCGTTCATTGACTCGGTAGGGCTCCCGTTCTCACTCGCTTTCAAACGCCTTGAAGAAACTGTTTAGCACGATGACGAAACTGAATATCGAATTGCACCTCACGTTTGTGCCTAGTTTTCAGAACCAAGCCGATGCCCCCTCACGACGCCTTACCCTGCAAGACGCTAAATTATGCCCATCCTTATGGGTAGTCGTACAAGAATTGTATGGCGGCGAGGATGGAAACTCTGTCGACTTAATGGCGCGTCCCTCAAACGCTCAATCCGACTTATCAGGTGCTCAGTTACCGTTTTTCTCTGAGACTCTTCTGCCTGGATCCCTGGGAGTAAACGTATTCGCGCAGTCTCCTGACCTTTATGATGCGTCCATATTTAAGAACCCTTACGTGTTTCCATCGATCTGCCTTATACCTCACGTTATCCAGTATCTGCGAAGCTTGCAACTATCCTACACCATCGTGATTCCCGACGTATGTTTAAGGCGTTTTTGGTGGCCCTTGTTAGCGTCTACATGTTCGGTGCGACACCTTTTAGCCGTTGCCGGAACCGTTGGAGCTCTCCTCACGCCCTCCAGAATTGGGTTTTCAAACCATTGGCCTATCCCTTGGGATCTCTGGGTTTTCCGCATCGGACAGGAGTAGCTAGTGCACTGGGCGAGCAAAGGACATTTAACTGTTTTTGGATATGCCTCTTCCGTCCGATTCATAATTTCCTGTTATGTAAACTATTGAAACGAATGTTTTGAATAAATCATTCTTGACAAGAATGTCGGTTGACTGTTATTTTATAATCGCATTTATAATTATTATCTCTCCTTTTCTTTTGATTTTCTTTATGACCTACCTTTCGCTGTGCGAGCGTTTGTTCCGGTTGTGTCATGTCCCTCGTGCAGCTACCCTAACGACAATCTGTTCCTTTTTTGCCAAATGTGCGGCTACCGGAGGAAAACGAATTCCCAAAATGTTCCGACTTCTAAAATTTCAGTCGACCTTCAAGCCATAGATAACCGTTTAGAACAACTTAAAAGTACCTCCCTACAGTCAGCATACTCAAAACAGAAGTGTTCACTTCGCACAGAGTTCGAAAAATTCTTGGCATCTCTTCCGAATAGTAAAACCATCCTTTCAGCAAGCCCTACGGATATTAATCGTTTCTTGGCCTGGAAAGACCAGCATGATAAAACGGTAGTCCATAGTGATGGGTGTTCCGACTCTCACCTCCAAAGTACCGCCAAGTGCAAATGCCCTAAACGCCTGGCATTCAAAACAGTCGACTCCTACATCGGAAAACTACGAGCTATATTTAAGGAAACCGGACGCTGCGGTGAATGGAACTCTATGTTAGGCTCAGGCAATCCTGCCGCTTCGCCAGAAGTACAAAAATATCAGAAGGCATCAACAGAGGAACCATTGCAAGCCCGCATCGCGCCAAAGCAAGCAGTCCCCCTATATTCTTTGCGTGTAACTGAGCTTGGGTGACCTGTGGTGCGAACCACCATGATACAAGGCTTCCATATACATGAAGTAGTGACTGTGCGATTTCATGTGATTTTCGTAAACAGGAATGGCGAGTAGCAAGAAGTGGACCTTACACCACTTAGTGGTATTTCTTCTCACTTTTCTGAGGTATGTGTACTTCTTTCACACAAAACAAATGAAAACGATATCGTACAGATACAGATTTTTGTAAGCTGTTACTCGAGCTTACCAAAAAAATAATGATAATAATAATAATAATGTCTTTACTCCGAGGTTCAATGATGTCTGATGATAACATAGAATGTTAGACTTACTCTAAGCAATGCATAGCAAGGTAAATACAGTCAAACCCCGTTAATACGGACGCTGAAGGGACCACAGAAGGTATTAACGGGGTGTCCGTATAAAGCAGGTCTTGTTATTAAAGAAAAACAAAAACGCCTTTAACAAAATACCAAAGAAATAGAAAAGGACATATGCATCGTCAAATTTCACTTCTCGAACCTTCACAAAGTCGTCAATACTTGGCTTAAGGCCACGGAAACACTTAAAAATCGCTCTTTTATAGATTACTTAATCAAAACCCTTCTCTGCATATCTTTTTCAATGCTAAAAATTGACGTCTACAAATCATCCTATCCGGTGTACTGTAGCCTATTCCAGGCTCCGAGATAGTCGAAAGATAGAAAGTGTGAACATGAAAATAAAACTGGAGAAAACTGAGGAGAGGAAGGGTGGTGAAGCCTGTCATAATTTCTTTAAATGGCTTGTTCCGGTATACCAGCTATCAGATTGGTTTGACAGAGGTTATATCAACACTTCTCAATGCAGCTTGTTTCTGTCACTCAGAAAGATGGTGTGGGGTGTCCAGGCGTGTGAAATAGAGGAATCCACAAACTTCTTTGTTCAATGAACGGAAGACCTGCCTTGTTTGGAAAAGAGATGCAACCCCCCGACTGACTTTGGGAGCATTTGACAAAGCTGTATTCACGTTTGGAAGACCTGCTTTAGAAAAACAAGTGAACTTTTAAAAATCTTTGTGGAAAAGATGTTTTGCAACCCTGCCGACTGACTTTGGCAAAAGTTTGACATCTCAGCTGTATTCACGTTTGGAAAGACTCACATTATCTTTAGAAAAACAAGCTGGACTTTTAAAAATCTTTACTTAAAGAGCAATCATGACTGAGTCACAACGCAATTATTCTCCATAGCTGCATTCCATTTTTCGGAATTTAGATCTGTAAATCACTATCTGTGAAATTTTAAATGTGCTGTAAAAAAGAAAACTAATGAGCTTGGCCTAGCGTGACAAAATATGGCAAGAAACCATCACATTCATGGGCGAAAGAAAGTCACCCTTAATTTTTCAGATCTAGAAGGCACTTTGGAGAAAATTAAACAACCTAAAATGACAAAATCATTATGCGTGTCGTGACCTCTCAGCATGAAACAAGCAGCAAAAATCACATTTGCTCTGTTAAAACGTAGAACCCTCCAGAGCATAATCTACCCGCCAGAGAAAAAATTCATTCGAACAAGCAGCATTTGGTATGAGGTACATGTAATAATTGTGTGTTGCCTACCTACCCCCTTTTTACACTCTGAAGGGATTAGCCCCGCAAAGTTCTCCAAATCCTCAGCCTGACCAAAATGCCATTTTCTTCACCCTTTTAGACCAGGTCTCGGTCTCTAACATCCATGACAGGGGTCACAAATGTGATGTACGTGTTTACACAGGTGTAAATCACGTCATCATCCCTTAGAATATAACGTTGAATGGTATATTTCAGTTATTATTCACGTATAGGTCAGTTACCCCTCCCCCCTTAAACAGCTTTTTTGCACCATGGAATTGGCCCAATATTGTCCTTCTCGTCTGGGTTCTTTAGTCCTCATATTGCAAAGGCTTTGAAGTGGAATTGTGACATGTATAAGAATTTTACTTTCACTAACACCAAATAATATTTTTTTTTTTTTCATGCAGTGCTTCTCAATTTCACATCATCCATTGGGTTAAAACTATAAATTGAATTCTAACTCCTCCTTTTCATAAAATTTAGAGTTCCATTTTCAGTTGCCTGTGTAGTATGCTTTCATATCCAGGCTGATGTTGGGGAGATTAGACTGTGTGACCAGCCAAAGGAATGTTTGTGTGTGAGGCAAGGAGCTGGTGCTGCTGCTTTACGCTAGTCCGCTATCCATTTCTCTCAGTTTTACCTTTCTACAGTTGTTTTTATATATACACGCCGTCCATAGTCCACGTTTCATACGTAGCCTGCATTTTATACCTAGTCCGTGTTCTATACCCAGTCTGCAGTCGATAGTTCGCAGTGGGCAGTCCTCATTTTATACTGACAGTTTTGAAAGGCAATTCAGTCACTCTGTGGGGAAAAATTAAACAATTTAGATAGGATAAATTTGTTTTGTTCAAAACTAGTGTAAAGTTTAGCATAATTGTGGCAAGAACTGGCGAAAAGATGTGGATCATGGAGATCCGTCCTGCTGCATTAACAGAGCTTGCCCTTTGCAGAGTGCTACCCAACCTCCTACCCCCTGGAAGTAACAAATTTAAATACAATACAACCAAATACAGTCAGTAGACCCATGAACACAGTGCTCCTCTATTGTTGTCATATGTTTGTCCATATGAAGCTGGCAAAATTAGCAAAATTTGGTTTTGAACATTCATTACTCTGCACAAAATTAACAATAAGTTCATGCGTCAGTATGTGTATGTTGAGATATTGAGCACGCAGGAAGTTTAGAGAGCATGAAAGAAGCATAAGAGTGCGCCTCAAGCAACTCTCGCCTCTATAAAAATATTTATAAACAATGGAAAGAACAAGGTTGATTTTACAGCTAGGATTTATTGCCAATATTTCAAAAGGCATGGCCTTTCTTCATATCGAGTATATATTCCTACATTGTAACTGTAAAATCAGCCTTGCTTCTTTTTGTTGTTAAGAATTTCAGTCTTAGAACATTTAGTTAGATGATCCATTCCTGTGGCTGGTTTATTATACAATGTAGGAGGACAATGCCCTTGGGTGAGTGGCTGTCTGAAAAATAAAAAAGGGCAAATGCAGCATTTTGAGGACAAGGTCTAGCCAAGGTTATTAGCCGGGGGAGGAGGGTACTCTTATGTTGAGTATATTATGGGGATGTGCTGCTGGTCATGGTATGGTTTTTGTTCTCTCTGTTCTAAACAGGGTATATAATTTTGCATGAGTCTAGCCTAAACAGGGTATGCAATTTCCCGGAAGGTCTGTCCTAAACAGTGTGCATGATTTTTACGCGTCTGTTCTAATTATAAACTGGGTGTTTCATGCACGATCGCTTTCGTCTTAGTTCATGCACGATGTTTAGTATGTCATTTGCAAGACCAAGAAACTACCTTGAAGAAGCAATGACTGTAACATGATTTTCTCAGTTGCAATTGCCAACAAATGACTTTAAAACAACACCGCGTGCATTTTGTCCTTTGTCCTTTGTCCTTTGTCCTAAACAGGGTAATAAAATTGAGGGAGTTGTCCTAAACAGGGTACTAAAATTGAGGGTGTTGTCCTAAACAGGGTATGTATTTTAGGAATTTTTTGTCCTAAACAGGGTCAGGGTTTCAAATCCTCAGCGGCTCACCTATACCCAAATATTGGTCAAGTTATTAACCTCTGAGAGTCCAGCAAACCAGAAAGGACAAGTTGAACTGACTGGAATTTTGTTAAGTTATAACATGACTCGACTGACAACCTCAGATGACTCAAACTGAATGCTTTATAGTGACTCATTTGTCTTTTTCTGCAGCTATTCTTGTTTCCATGCCACAAGGAAGGCGTTTAGCAATGTCAAAGATTCCATGCAGAAGGAATGGACAAACCATTCAGTAACCTTGGATCCACAACAGGTAAATTAAGAAAAAATGTTGTTTAAGGTAGATACATGTACAGTGTATACGTTATAGGTAAAATATGTTGTCTGGTGAAACCTGTATTCAACATACAGTGTATTAAGCTTAATTTTCTTCTAGGCCTTCTCAAACCTAGAAATGGGTTCCAGGGTCACAAAGGTACATACATACATACATACATACATGTTTTTTATTTGGAGTCTTATAAAAAAATTCCAAAAATTCCTAAAGTACCCCCCCCCCCGAAATACACACACATTTCATTATTGCTGAAAGATACACAATGTACCTTTGACCTTAGCTTAGTTTTGATGTTTATGTTGCAAGTTTCATTTGTTTGGGAAAGACAAGTTAGTGTCATCCTTAGTGCAAACGTTTTAGTCTGGCCTGAATTATATGCACCAGCCCCCTTCAGGCAAGTGTCCCCTTTCAAATAAGCGCCATCCCCCTCTTGACTCAAAATAATTAAAACATCTTGGCCACTTAATTGAGTATTTACAACTTATATCAAGTAACAAAGTACATGTTAGTAATTATATTGTTTGATTATTTTGTTGTTTTTATGTTTTCATACATGTAGACAACATTTTTGGTTTTTGTTGCTTTTTCAAACAGGTGTGGGAAAACAGACATTTCTTCATAGATGAGGTGATAAAGAATTTGCATGTACTTTTATAAGTGTTTCTATAAATTCTACCGGAAAATGCAAAATCCGACGGTGGACAGTAATTATTTATGCTAAGATAGAAACGGCCTCTTAGTAATCCCTCTTACACCCCTTCCAAAAAAAATATTGAATGTATAGTCCCACAACTTATTTAAACGAAATTAGCCTTCAAGTGACCTACAACAGGCTTAACATATCAAATCTTGCAGAAAAAGCATAGCAAAGCATCCTTTCTAAAAGACAAAGGTCGTTGAATTTTAGGGAGAGTCCTTGAAAAATCCTTGAATTCCATTTTTCCTTGTAAAGTCCTTAAACTTCTGTGCAAGTCCTTGAAAGGTTCTTGATTTTCTTCAGCTTTGAATGTAGAAAAGTTTTGTTTAATTTTTTTTGGTCGTCCAAGACGGAATATGTCATAGCTCAGATCAGAGAAGTTAATGGTGATTTACATAAAGTGTTTTTATGTTTTATGTAAGAATTGACTATCAATTTAAGACAAGTGAACCGAAAAATGCATATGTTGGTGGAGCAAACAGTTCAAGGGTTAAAGTCCTGTTAGAATGGACTGGGAATGTGCAATTCCCTGTTAGGTGGTCCTTAAAAGAGGCCCTGCCGTCGGGGGGGGGGGGGGGTCGCTCGTCTGAATTTTAAAACATCTCGTGTCGGTGTTTATAAATGCTTCATGTCGCTGTCGGAAAGTGAACGAAAATTCGTGGTCTTCGTCGGAATTTTAGAAAAGGGGATAGAAATTTGTTGCACAGAAACCATTACAATTGTGCAATTTCTCGGTTATTATGTCGAACGTATCGAACACCTATACATCGCCATTCACAACTGAGTGATCCACGTTCAACATTTTAAGACTACACCTGTAACTGACCTGATAAATCGTGAAGGTACGGTGGTCTACTGTGTGAGAACGGTTGGAAGGTCGGTGGTTAGGTTACCTGCTTCCTGTTCTCTTCACCGTCGTCAACGCCATGTTTCTTACAAGAAACTTAAGTCTGGATACATTGTCCCTCTCCACCTATAGTGGGTACCACGATCATAATGCTGGCAGGGGATTGAAAGCCTTGTGATGTTCTAACATCCCGTTCATGGAGATGTAGTATCTTTGAACTAGTTGCTTCACGCTACATTTAGGGAAGAAAGCGCCAGTTCGCTCATAACATTTACCTTTCCACCTTACAAATCAAGACGTGACGTGAGCAAAGCAAGCAAAGCATACAAGAGATGTAAAGAGTGCATAAAATTAAGGTATCAGCCACCCTTCAGGAGCGTCCGCGCGCAGATCGCTGTAGCGTTAGTTGTTTTTATAAAAACCCCTATAAACCATATATTTTTTAAAAGCTTAACAATTCCAGATTATGGATTTGAACTAACAAAAACGATTTACTTAAATGTGTTTCGAAATTGGAACGCTTTGTGTAAAAGTACACGTCTCTATAAATCATGTTCCACTCCCGCCGGAAATAAACGAAAGAAAAAAATTATCACCGCATTCGCTTCTCAACACGTTCCACCAAAAAACCGTGTCTCAGATTTTTGACAAGTGCGTTTGTTTTTCTTTTATTAACAAATGAAGTTGGGGAAGGCACTTAGTCAACACTCCCTGTGGAAAAAAAGCTCTAGCTTTAAAATAAAAAGGAGTATTAAAATTCGCAGACAGGGTTTTGTAGAAGAGATATATGGCATCACTCTGGCCAAATTTTAGCCAAATTGATTGAAAGGCTGCCGACTTGGAGTTCAAAACGTACGAGTCGATCGGCAAAATTTGCGTTCGGAGATAAAATAGAAAATACATTTTTGGCGGCATCCTACCTGGAATGAGATTATAACACCTAAATGTTTATTCTGATTGATATCAGAGAGGGATCAATTATCTCTAACAATAGGACTTTGACAGGTAACATGTAACAGGAACAAACTTTCGCGGCAAGCAAGTGAACAGTTTAATTCTCCGTTGGAAAACTTCCACTCTTTTACACCACGAGAAGCACGGTTTAATTCTTTCTCGAGCAAAAGTTTAGCCTCTCCTTCGATCTTTTTTGTATGATCCGCCCAGGTGTTTTTGTTGTTCGGCGCCAGGCCAAGGAACTAAAAAAATTTGAAGCCGTCGAATGTCCACCACCGATTGCTCGGAAGGCCAAGAACTGAGGCCCGGTTTATTTCAAACGCTCTGCTCTTCTCTGAAGAATTAAAAACAGACTTTGTCTTGTGCGACGGACAGCTTTCATTCTCGCACTGGACTCTCCAGGTAGAACCAAGTCCATGCTTAGTAGCTACATTTTCCATGACTTGGACTCTTCCCTGGCAAAATCGACAAGATACAGACTCGTCCAGTTTCTCAAGCAGCTTTTCGCTCGATACGATAGCTCGACCGATTATTGTTTTCCAGGTTCCATCTAGCCTCCCACGCAGGCGTTTTTAGGGGAGCTCGTATTTCTTCCCTCCCCACAAACGCCTGCTCAACGGAAAACAACATTCCTTTCTCATTGTTTTATTTGCGTGGTAGGTGACCAATCAACAAGCTCGACGACTGAACGTGACCTTAAAGTTTGTTTTCCTTCTTTTTTTCCTTCGCTAAGGTTATGCAGTGCACGGAGTATTCTGAATTTTGACTAAAACTTATTTTTTCTGAATCTAACATTTATTGCAGGTCAGAAAGCTTTCCCAGTGTTTAATGCAGATCGAGTAATTATCAGATTAGTCAAGGTCAACTTTCCAGAATTTGGAAAGTACAATGTGATTGGCTAAGCTTGGGAACGGAATGTTGGGTAAAAACGCCTGCGTGGGAGGCTAGGTTCCATCAGCAGATGGGGTCGATGAGCTTAATTGGCTTTCTTCATCTGGCTCTTCAAGCTGGATTTTGGAGCGGCTTGCACTCTCAGCAACTGCAGCATTTTCGCTTTTCTGAATATCCAACCCCTCGAGCCACTTCTCTGGCTGATAAAATGAGCCTTTGTCACTCTCTCCCAATTTTGCGGCCCATTCTTTGTCAAACTCGCTCTTCGATTTCTTTTTCGCTCTCGGTTTTGATGACGAAAACGGACACGATCTTTTCTTTTTTTTTCGCGGCATTTTCACCGAAGCAAACGCTAAATCTAAAGGCTATAAACAAAGCGAAGACAATTTGCAAGTGTTGTGTCGAAGCACGCACTCGGTATTACGTTACTAGTCCCGACCTATCCAATCGAACAAAACCGAACAAAAAACCAATCGAACCCAATCGAACTCCAATCGTTCGATTGGGTTGGGCAATCGAACAAAATCGAACACCTATTTTGCTGTGAGTTCGATTTTCGAACCAATCGAACCAATATAATCGAACGAAATCGAACAACTGAGTAAAACACGTGGAATATAATCATCGTCAGCTTTTATTGAATAAACAGGAACTGAACATCATACTGCAAGAATGTCAATGTTCGAACAAAACAAAACAAATAAAAGGCAATTTCGATGACTGTTAAGGTACTGTGACTGTTAAAAGGAAATGCTTCTCAACAGAGAAAAATCGCACCATTTCAACAACAGCAACGCAGGCAGTTGTGTTTAAAATTAGTATTATAATAAGCAGAAGGGACCTCGCTGCAGCCATTACTCTCTCCAGGTTCCCCAGAGTGGCCAAGAGTGACGTGGAGTGTTGGAGTGTTGGTAACCTTGAATGCTCTTCCCTTAGAGCCAATCTTCTTAAAGATAAAGAATTCTTCTCCCACATCAACAGTAAAATTACATTCTTGGTAACCTTTTACACTGCATGTAATTTCAATACATGCAGTGTGCTCCCTCTCCTCCGTGTTTGACATTTCAGACATTTCAGTCCTAGGTTTCAGTGCTCAGCAAAAGCCGCGTAAAAAGGGAAGGGAGTTAGCGGTGATTTCACTTTCACCTTCGGAATTTTCCAATACCACGTGCCTATCATGCGATGCGGCGTCCGTTAATCGAACGTTCGATTATACCAATCGTTCGGTAATCGAACGTTCGATTGTGTTCGATTGGCAAAATTTTATTGTGAATTCGATTATGTTGGATTGAGTTCAGCAATCGAACGATTGGTGTTCGATTGGGTTCGATTGCCGAACTGTTCGATTGGATAGGTCGGGACTAGTTAACAGGCAAGTTAATTGATATATGACACGGGTATAAAAGATCTTGTCAACGATCAATTAAGATAATTAACGATAAAAAATCTTTTACCCCCGATATCTTTGGACAGAAATAATATTTTCTTCTGATTTTTTTTTAAAAGAAAGCTCTCAAGCATATCTATTTGAAAACGTTGAAACCTCAAATATGGAAAAATGGCAATTTTAAAGGTGGCTGATACCTTATGCTATGTGACGGACAACCTCATTCCCAGGTCTCCGAGGAGTTGTGCAGGGTTGCGTAAATGAAGTGTAACGCAGACGTTCTTAAGGTCACGAGCGCCGACTGGAAGTAACTCACGCCAGTGTGAACATACTGCGCCTGTGTTTACATCCGTGAGGTCAGGTCGCCGATGCTAGAACGCCACTTTTTTAAGTTCAAGATAGAACGCGAGAATCTAGTACTCGAAAGTTCGGGTTTGGGTAGGAATCATTTGGTAACTTAATTGTTGACTTAAAACCAAGGACAATTCTTCTGCTATTCATTCGTCGTTTTCAGCGATGTAAACAACAGGTACAAAACAGTCTCTAACTCTATTTTTGGACTCTACTGGTTGACCCGGTTAGCTCAAGCTGGCTGCAGAATGCAGAACTGGAAAGATGGCAAAATTTTACGGCATTTTCGTAAGATTTACTCGATTTCTTGTCTATGCGAATCATCATCAAGTGAACTCACATCTTACTTAAGAAGGCCATTGATTATATATATCCTGAAAACGTTTTTTGCGAGTCTGTGACATTTGGCGCAATCGACTTTGAAAATGAATAGCAAACGAAATCTCATTTGTGGTTAATGGAAATACAAACAAAATGGACCGCTATCATGTATGGTAGTTTTTGTTCGCTTGATTTGTGTCTACACAACAATCAAATAGTACACGACGGCATTTCAAGCTTGGCGAATAAATTGGAAAGATGAGATGTTAATATGACAATGGGACAAAGAAAATGTACGAGTCCTCTTCAGCGACAAAGATCTTTCTAAAATTCGAAATTCTATGGGTGAAGACATTTCAAATAGCAAAAGTAAACACAGACAAGACGTACGTGACTCGCGTTATACCAAACACCATTCATTGCTTAAACTTCGCTTTTCGCGCCACAAACGCCGTACTCGATCCATACCAGGCTCAACCTTCCCGACGTCTGTGACCTCAAGAACGTCCGCTGCTTAAGCTTTCTAATGAGATGTAATGCCGGCGACGCGACTCTGGGCACTTAAGACTGAAACACCAACCCTCTGGGAGACTGTGACATTTGAGTAGAGGTTTGTTTTTACAAGAAAATATTACCCTGACACCCTGTATGTGGGTTGGTGTTTTAATCTGACTAGTGCAAAGTGTCCGCTGAGCTTAATTCACTCAATTATTACATGATTACATGAAACTTCATAGAAAGAACAGCAATTTACAACGACATGTCTAGGTATAAACATTATCTAAACTCTACTGATAATTAAAAGGTTACCCATTTTAGTTCATTTATCTGATTTCATATTTCCCATACATGCCTGGTCGAGGTGGTTGTGCACAACTAGAAACACAACTCTTAAGGTCTATCAAGAAATGTGCCAGGCATAACCCCCCACCCACCCACCCACCCATTTTGGACCGGATCCATGAACCACTTACATGTATATGAACCTGGTCCCTGGACCCTATTTTTGGTCTCTGCCCCCCCCCCTAAAAAAAAGGGAAATTAAGGAAGGACAAATTATTGATAAACATGATGCAAATATCCTTGTTATTTATTTTGGTTTTTTATCCACTGTCACACACGGGTAAATTTCTTCATGCTGCAAAAGTTATTTATTCGGTAACATGGGAAGGGCAGGGGGGCATGATCCAGAACGAAAGTCGTTTTAACTGTGCATGTGTAAGGAAAAAAGAAAACAGCAAAAAGAAAAAATATCCACAAAGCTGACCAAACATCTTACTAATCATTAGAATCACACAGCCTGGCTGCAAGCAAATGTATCAAACAGCATTGTGTACATAGGAGTAAATATTAATGTCAGTGGTCAACACTTTCAAACCTTATCTTTGCACTATTACTTTATGTAGGTTGAAGCTGGCGTTAATGTTTATTGTTCATTTCTCCTTTTGACTGCTTTAAAAAAGTGTCCATTGACCCGTTCCAAAATGGGGGGTCCATGGAGCAGGGGCGCCTGGGTCCACGTTTTGTCCTCACCCGCTGACATGAACCTGTTATTTCACACAGCAACATGCTGAGGTTTTCCTAGGTGCAATGGATACAACCTTCCTCCTGGCCTATGCTGTGGTAAGAAATTATGCTTTTCAAATATGTAAAATACGTGATTGAAGTAGTCACTGGCTCGGACCATTTTAATTCCTTTTTGTCCCTTAAGTTAACAACAAAGTAAAGGAAAATCGCCTTACTTCCCCTTCTTTGTGGAGACCTTTACTTACATAACCAGCAGGGTCAAAAGCTTGCTTTTGACGGAATAGATTTTGAGAATAATATTGCCAAATGACAGTAACTTTTTTTGTTTTGTTCATGTTACATGTACTTGTTAAATCATTAATATGACAGCTTGTCAGCAGTTAATCAAAAATAGTAAATGTAATTATGAAATCATATTAGAGATTTTTTAAAATTTGTGCCTAAATACTTCTTACAGACTGATGTAAGATGTTCTTCTATTAGTTTTCTTAAAGAATTGTGAGACCTATCTTAAATAAGTACAAACGTTATTACTTGGAGATAACTGATTAATTAATATATAGATTTCGCCAGGGCTAAAAGCGAAGCCTCCGTTTCTATACTTATGATAAAAGCAATCAAATTTAAGGTGACTCGACCCAGTTTTTTTGGGGGGGTACCATCCTACTTTGAAGCTCTCTGGTATCCCCACCTTTACTTTTAACGTAAGTCTAACACGTAGAATGGATAACATATAGATCAATCTACAATATAACATAAAATTTTTGGCCATCGGAGTAAATGTCACGTGGTTATAATGCCACGCCCCTTTGAGGTCTGAGTCGAAAATCTGCTGTTGCCGGCATTTTTTCGTGAAACTCTCTCGGCTACACATAGTGTGCATTAGTGCCTTGCGCTCAACAGAGTTTCACCAAAATCGCAAAGACCCAATTCAAGAAATTCAGCAGTTTCCAAATTTAGGTCATAATTTATGCGAAAATGATAAGTAAACTTTACACGATTATATCTAATAAACTATGAGACTCATCCCTTTATTTTGGGGATCGTTATAACAAATGGGTCCTTGCAAGTCAGCAAAACGCTGTAGAGCCTTGTAAATACGCGCGATTTCGAGCAAAGCAAACATATAGAAATTATAGTTTTCGCTATTTGTTGACGTTTGTCAGCGTTGAGTCCTTCTCACAAAAAAAAGCATTTTCTTAAAATTTCGTACTTTTTTTTCCCTTCAAATTTTTTCAGGGCCACAATTGATTAAATAACTACCCGGATTCTGAATTTCATGGTCATTGAAAAACTGTGACATTATCTTCTATAAGCCCAAACTTGAGTAAACATTGAAGATTTTTAGCGTTTTGGCTGAGTTTGTGCTTTGGGAGTTGTCTATTGTTTCTAGTCTGTCATGATACAGCATTCTTGTTCAGCACGCGTGTAATGACCGCGCTTGGCTGACTTCTTAATGCTCAAATAGCTGTCAAATTCCCCGGGGTGGGGACGAAAAAGAGGGCAAATGCCCCGTCCACCGTCAACACTGCAACATTTTTCATGATCGCACAGTCGAGTATAGTGCCATTTTAAGCATTTTTATGTGCGATTTTTTGTTTCAGTTAACGCAATCGTGCTACTCTAATTAAGACTTCACGCCGTGACGACACCAGTTTATGGTTTTAGTATTGTTAAAAAAATCATTGACATTGAAATTAATAGTGGGCTTTAAAGTTATCTGTTATGGATAGTTTTTCAAATAATATTAACAGAAATTTGATTCAATAACCAAAAAACGTTGATTCACGTCGATAGCTCCCGATAAGTAATTCTGGCTTGATAAGCAATTTAGAAATGCATGCATAAAATCGAGAACATACCTCTACAATCCTCTTCAATTTTTTCCTTGACAGATGAGCCAATCAGCTTGTTTTTTTTCAGTTAAATCCTCAGCGTAGTTATATTCTGATAGGAAACCGCGTGCGTGTCAAAAGTTTGGGGTTGGCCCTGGGGTTGACAAATGCCCGGCCCACGGGCAGCGCAAGATTTGCAAATGCCCCACCCCTGGGACTGACAAGGCGGACAAATGCCCCGCAGTAGCTGGAGGGGGGGTGGGGGGTGCTGGGCGCATCTGGATTTGACTGATGCGTTAGTTCATTTCTGGTATATTCTAACTTTCCGCAGACAAATTCCTCAAACAAATCGCATGTTTATGTTCCAATATTCGCTTCCTCCCGCGGTGCAAACACTGTATAAGACAATGTTCCTGTGCAATATCCCACGGCATCTAAAACTTTTTTTGCTGAAGAATACTTCTTAGTCAAGTATTAGTCGGCTACCTTTTATAATCATACAACGATAACCTATTAAGAAGAAAAAGAAAGAATCGCACCTGGAATCCGAAGCCACCATTTGGTTGTTCTTCTAGACCTTTAACAGCCAAAAGCAACTTGGGAGCGAGGCTGAGGTAACTTTACGCGGGAAATATCAACCTCGTACCCAGGCCCGGGCTACTTTCTTACTTTCTTGGAAGCTTTATTGATAATGACGTCACCTTTATTAGTACCGTAAAATTCCGAAAATAAGCCCCGGGGCTTATATTTTTCAAAGGCCCTTTTTGAGGGGCTTATATACGGAGGGAAATTTGCGTTCCAAAATCTATTGGGTTAGCTACTTGTACTGGGAAGGAAATTTACCATTTTTGCTTTGTTTTACTTTGTACTCGAGGGAAAATTCCAAGTACAAGCCCGGGGGGCTTATATTCGGAGGGGCAATTTAACGGAGGATTCTTTGGGTGACGATTTTGGGGGGCTTATATTTGGAGGGGCTTACGGTATGTTTTCAACGTGTATTATTTTACAATCAGTGTCTAACAGTCTGCAGTCTGCGGTCTGCAAATGTCATACACCGTCTCACGATCGTGTTTTGGGCTACTGTTATGAATGAACATTGACAGATAAATAACTTAATTTCTTGAAAATTTTTATTCAAAAACCCATAAGTTAATCTTACAAGCAATTCACATATAACACTAACTGGATCCTGGATCCGTTCACGCATGTTAAATCAGCTGAGCACATGGGAAAAAAATCACATATTATTTCAAATGCACATTTTGTGGTTTTTCTTTCACGCCAGTGTGTCAAAATGTAGAAAACATCCATGAAACCTTTCTAAACACAAAAATTCCCTTTTGAAAATGTACTTTCTGTGACCATAGAGTACAGAATGTACCTCAAGTTTCTTCAGAAACCTCGCTGCCTCGGTTGGTTCAAAACTACCCTGCGAGCAGAGGCTACATTTTGGCGGAATGAGCTGGCGTGCGAAAAGTAGCTACTTTTCGAACGCAAGCTCATACCGCCAAAATGTAGCCTCTGCTCGCAGGGTAGTTCAAAACAAGCCAAGCGCTCTGATCCACCGTGAAAAAAACAAAGTTGAATTCCTCGCAAGACAGTTTCATAGCGAAAAGCTCTCGTTTGTCCACAAAGAGGAATTTGAGCTCTCTTTTGAACTTTCTCTTTCCACTTGTGTCTTTTATCGGCGTATTTTCAATCTTGAAATGCAAAACGTTAGTCTTGAAAACCACGACATGATGACACACGCCAGCTCATTTGACTTTTGTGAGGGAGGGGGATATGGGTGATTTAGTTTGGGTAAGAATTTTTTCCCCAGACCTCTAGTTAGAAATTTTTTCCTGACATATAACGGTGTAAGATTTTTTCTTAGCATTATATACGTCATGAGGGACGCACGTACACATACGAACATCAGATCTTCATAATTTAACCAATGGGACAAGGGCACCCAATGACTGTTTTCTGTAAAATGTCTGTTCGGGGAAGCAGATGTTGCCGAGAATTCTCTATTACTTTACAATGGCTGAAAACTTTTAGAAAACCGTGCCATTCATGTACAATTTTTGAACGTTATCTAATAAATTCCCTGTGATTTTATAAAGCTTAATTTTTCACATTTCACTCCTCATGTAAGGCTATTTTTTGTAGAAAAAAGGAAACCTAAAGTTTTTGGATTCAAATAATAATTATTATGTGATAGAGGTAGGACTCAGTAAAAGTCTCACTTTTGTAATACGTTCTATTGCATCTCTAAATTTTCTGGAAAATAGTGCCGAAGCCCTTGTAACTTCAAAGAGACTCAAGTTCCCCTACCAAGACCGAACAGATAAAAATTTTATAGCGCTGCTTAGAATGTATTTTAGAGATCCAAAATGTGAAAAGCCTAAAATGTGTTTGCAATGTACAAATGTATTTAGGAGAAAACTGTCGTTGGGCTCCCCTGATGGGATTCATGTCTTCCCCAAACCTTTCAACTCACTGCAACTGCAAGTTACCCATGTAAATGACTGCAAATTAAGGCAGCGCTGTTTACTTAACCAGTGCACAATCACAATAAAGTGGTGAAGTTGATGAAGATTATGAATCTGATAAAAAAAAAGAGTGAGAGAGGAGAGTGGCAATTTTGACGAATCTGGTAAAAATGGACCAGAGAACCTGCGGGCAATAGTCAAAAGCGCAATTCTGGCAAAAAAAATTGCATCGTGGGGCTCCTTTGCCAACTCATTTGAATATTCAACAAACTTTGACTAATTTTTTGCCAAATTCATCATTTTTGTCCGAACCGCTTTATTCACCAAATCATTTATACATTTTGACATTTTTTCACCAAATTTGCCATCACTTGTCAAGGGGCTCCTTTGCCACTTTTGTGAATTTGTGCAAACACTTTGGCAAATTCCTGCCAAATTTGCCATTTCCCCAAATTCACCATACATGTGTCCGTCAAAATTTTCCACTGTAATGGGGTCTGTTTGCCACTTCATGTTTGAATTTTTGCTAACGCTTTTGGCTAATCTTCACCAAATTCGCCATTTTACCAAATTTACATGTACCATATTCGTCTAAATTGCCACTTGTTATAAAACTCTGTTGCCAAATCATGTGAATATTCACTGAACATCAACAAAATTGATTTTCGCCAGGTTCCCCTTTTTCTGTAGCACGTGCATTTCTGGACATAATTATCTCGTAGCACCACAAGAAAACCCGTCCTGAATTGGGACTGGACCTCTCTCCTTATCATATATAACCCTCTCCTGGGACCTAACCTGATCAGTTAACATCACAAAGTCCAAGAGATTTGTCTGAACAAAATATCTGAATTTCAAATTCATTTTTACTCTGAGGTTTGCAACTCTTTCAATTAATGAATGAATAAACAACTTTGTTAACGTGTCTAAATCTTCTAGCTGGCCACAAGTAGCCTACTAATAGCGGACACGAAAAAAGAAAACAGACTAAATAGATGAAGGTGTCTAGTCATTATTTAATAGTAATGATATATTAACTAACGTAGATCTGGAACTCTAACATTTGAGGATTTGGTTATCTTCATGCAAAGTAAGAAGTTAATTAACCATGCTACTAAATAAGTTACCTAAAACATTTTTACAGAACATAAAATCAGGAATGAGAGAATTCATAGCTCATATGCAATCAGCCTGAGGTAAAACAAATAACATGAATGTGTTTTTTTCCATTTTTGCCACAGGGTCTATATATAAGTGGAATTTTAGGAGACAGGTATGGATGGTTTCCTACTAATCATTGCATACAATTATTAGTTCATCGTAAAATACTTTTGACAAGTGTCACCACCTTTTTAATACAGTTGTTTAAACTTGCAACGTAATAAACATTTTTGGTCGCCAGATGGCATTAAGAAGTCATCAAAATTTTTCCTTTTCTTTAAAGGTCTCATGAAAAGAAAACATTATTATGAATATTTTATACTCATGCAAAATCAGGCTTGCTCCAGCGATGGCAAAATCTCGTATTTGTTTGCTGCGACTGCCAGGCCACTTAAACCTGGTTTCCATATGATTGTCTGGATCATCCCGATCGCCTCAATCATTTCAAAAAATTTGGAGACGATCTGAACGACTGTGACGATTGTTAGTTTCCATATAATCGTCTCCATCGCCTCAAAGATAAGAGACGCAGGGTCGTCAGCGATGTCTCTGGGTCAGACAATAGACTTTTTATGCTCGTTTCGCAAACAAGTCCAACGTAATGATGGATTTTAATCGCAAAGTAAACCTTGTGCTTTGCTATTTGCTTTTTCTCTCGATTTTGTGGCGTCGAGAAGCTAGAAACGTTCCACGAAGACATAGTATCACCTCGAGAACTTCTCACTTTCTTGTTAACCGAATATGGTGTCCGATCTTTTTTGTGTTTTTACTGCGAGCTAGATACGCTCAGGACAAAGAAGTCCAGTTTACAGTCAGTCAAAGCGGTTACTCACATACAGACCCGTTTTCAAGTGAATTCAAGCAACTGAAAGCATAAGCAGTTTATTTGACCGGACCACGTGCATTCATAGTGCAATGCCGACCGACTCGTCTCAAACTTCTTCAGCAGCGGCAATGCCGCAACTGCAATAATCAGTGTTCCTTCAAATTTTCCAGGACCAAGCGCTTTAGTTTGCCGAGTAGGTCTCACCAGTAACTGGGAATTTTTTAAAGAACAATGGCAGGATTACAGAGTGGCAACAGGTCTAGATCAAAAGAGTCAAGCGATTCGTGTAGTGACCTTCCGTTGAGTTATGGACTGTCTCCAGATCTTTCTGAATCTTGGCACTGAAGAAATCAGACAATTGTCTGCACTAGAAGTTTATTTTCTACCCAAAAGAAATGTGGTGTAAGAAAAGTACGTTTTCAATTCCTGTATTCAAACACCTGAGGAGACAATTGACAGCTATGTCAATAGGTTGAGGAACCTAGCATCCTCTTGCCAGTTTGGAACACTCACTGAGGAGATGATTCGTGGTAGGCTTGTTATTTGCATACAGGATAACGACACAAAAGCTAGATTGCTCAGGGAGAAAGATTTATCTTTGAATAAGGCCTTTGACGTGTGCAAATCAACTGAGATTACAAACAAGCAGCTTAAGTCGCTTCAGCACAAGAGCAAACAGTCGAATGAAGAGCTTCACCTACATGTATTCAAGACAAGTAAAACCAAGAAAAGCAAGAAACCGAGACCTTCCAATCCGGGCAATACAACTAAAGGTCCAAAAAAAACGTGGAAATGCAATATTTGTGGCCAGGCCAAATGGCATTCAAAGCCCACCGATTGCCCAGCTTATGGTCAGCAATGTAGAATTTGCAAGAAGATGAATCACTTCAGCAAAGTGTGTTTGTCAAGTAAAGATAACAGAGAAAAGGTCCATTTTGCAGAAGAGGCAGAAGTCGATGATTATGTTTCAGACGAATCCTTACTGAAGAAGATAGAAGAAATTTCTGCAGTTAAAGGGCATGGAACGCAAATGACATCCAGTATTACATTCTGATAGATGGTGATGAGAAAGTAGTGTCAGTTAGACACTGGTTCCACCTGCAGTGTGATCAGTTTCAAAGATCTAGTTCAGCTGTTACAAGATGGCAATCCTCCTCTAAACATCTCCAAATCCACGCTCAAATTGTTTGATGGTACCCCGATGCAACCAGTTGGTGTAACCACCCTTATCGTAGTAAGAAGAAGAAAACACTACGACCTGCAATTCCGAGTAGTAGAGAGCCCTAATAAGCTCCTTCTTTCAGCTGAGACCTGTGTGCAGTTGGGTCTTCTTAAGGTGGAGATAGAACCATACGAAGAGGTCCACTCCTTGGAAAGGATGTGTTTGAAGGACTAGGACATGTTGGGGACACAGCCATTATCACTGATCCTAAGGTAAAGCCCATACAGCGCTCTCAGCGCCAGTCCCAATTGTCCTCAGAGATAAAGTTAAAGCAAAACTGGAGGACTTAGCAAAGGAATCGTGGAAGAGGTCAACATACCAACAGAATGGATTAGCTGCATGGTTGTAGTCAGCACGCCAAGCAAGACAAGAATTTGTCTTGATCCCCAAGATCTGAATAAAACAGTTATTCGCCCCAAGAACCAAATGTCAACTCTGGATGAATTACTACCAAAGCTCAGTGAAGCGAAGGTGTTCAGCACATATGAATGCTAAGGATGGATTCTATCAGGTTGGATTAGATGAGCAGAGCAGTCTGAAGACCACATTCTGGACACCATTTGGTCGCTACAAGTAACTGAGGTTACCTTTTGGAATCAATTTAGCTTCAGAAGGGTTTGAGCATAAACTGCATGAGAAGCTGGATGGTCTTCCTGCATGGTGTAGCAGTGATAAGGGATGATATATTGGTGATGGGCTTTGGAGAAAATGAAGATGAAGCCAAGAGAAATTATGACGAAAACTTAACCCGCCTACTTGAGCAGGCTCGCAAAGCCAACCTATGCTTAAACAGCAGCAAGATGAATCTTCGTAAGACTAAAGTCAAATTCATGGGTCACCTAATTACGAAAGATGGTCTAAAGCCCGAGCCGGAAAAGATCAAAGCTGTTCAGGAAATGCCAAGGCCCACGTCTAAGAATAAGCTGCTAGGGTTGCTGGGATTTGTAAACTATTTATGTAAGTTTCTCCCGAAGCTGTCAGAAGATGTCCAGCCACTGAGAGAAATGACCGCGAAAGAAGCAAAGTTCATCTAGTCACAGCAACATGAGACAGCATTCAAGGAAGTACGAGAGCTTGTAGTCAAACCTTCTGTGCTCAAATATTATGATGTACAAGAACCAGTGGTGGTGCAGTGTGATGCCAGTGAAAATGGGTTAGGAGCAGCTCTTCTGCAAAACGGCCAAGCCGTTGCTTTCGCCTCACGATCTTTATCACAGACTGAAAGATAGTACGCCCAGATAGAGAAGTGTTTGGCTATTGTCTTCTCCTGTGAAAGATTTTATAATCAGTACCTTGCTGGTCGTGAGAAAATTACAGTTGAAACTGACCACAAGCCATTGCAGAGCATCTTTCGAAAGTCCATTTTTTCTGCTCCATGTTACCTGCATTATACTACTAACGCTGTAACTCCTCAATCTTCATGTTAACTATAAGCCTGGCACTCAGATGTTTATTGCCGATCGCCTATCCAGAGCCTATATAAATATATAAATAAATCAAGCCTTTATTTAAAGAGGGTAGCACTTAATAGCCAAGGCTAATAAACTTGTGGCCCTCATAAAATACACAACTATTTACAATCTAATAAATATTTTAAGCTAAAATATATAAACAATTAAAATAAAACAGATTCGATTTTTATAAAAAATAAAAAAAATTATTAAATGATAAAATGATGCAAACATTGTTGTTCCTTAAAAATCTTGGCAAACATGTTCTTTTTAAAACATGCTACAGAATCTAGTTTCCTAATTTCAATTGGTGTACCATTCCACAGTCTTGTTGCCAAAGCGTCCACCCTCTGTTTCTCTTCTATATTTAGCACAAACAGCATTAATGCTTGAATATCTAGTGTTGCGGGAGTGCCGCTTATTATTCAAAATTAAGTGTTCATTTAGATAATTCGGCAAATACCCATTAATTCGCTTATACATTATTATGCATTTATCTATCTTATGTTGCTCATAAAACGGAATCCAACCTACAATCGGCGACAAAATTGTTGAGACATTGTACTTAAATAGGGTGACTTCGGAGAACAAACGAATCCACACCCTCCCCTGTCCCCTCCATTCAAAGTTGGGGTGTTTGTTGTTTTCTATAGGTAGCTAGAACAAGGGCACAACATTGTGCGGAGGGGATGGGGGAGGAAAGCTATATTTCCTCCTTTTGAGGTTCATAAAACGTAAAAAAGCCTAATTTTGGGCGAAGTGTCTCAACTCATTTTGTCGCCGATTGTAGCTTGTTAAACAAAGCAACTGATGGTGTCATGCGATCGGCATAAGAAATAACGCGTGTCGCACGTTTTTGCAATCTTAAGACCCTATAAACCGACTCTTTATCACAATTTGTCCAAACAACGTTAGCGTAAGACATAACAGGGCGAATAATGCTATTATAAAACTGAAATCGCTGTTTAAGAGGTAGACAGGCTCGAATCTTACGCAGTATTGCGATTCTAGAGGCCAACATTTTACATACTTTCTCAATATGTTCATCAAATGACAATTTGCTGTCAATTTCTACGCCTAATAAGGTAGCACAATCCACATTACTGAGCTGTTTTCCGTTTACGAAAACATCTATGTCACTTCCATTTATGTTAGCCACACATCTTTTCCCAGTGATCACTGAAAGCTACAGTGAAGACTCAAGTATTTGCCGTTGAGCTCGAGACACTCAACTCTTTCGACTCCATTAAAATAACCCCTGAGAGGTTAACACAGATGCAAAAAGCCACAGCCCAAGACTTAGCCTTAGAAACCCTTAAGACAACAGTAGTTACCGGCTGGCCTGAGAGGAAAGTACAACTGCCAATACAAGTGAGAGGTTTTTGGAATTACAGAGAAGGGATTTCTCCCCCCAATGGGTTTTTGTTCAAAACCCAAAAAGTGATAGTCCCTAAAGCCACGAGACCTGAGATACTTTCCAGGATCCATTCAAGTCACCAAAGCCCTTGTTGAGAGATGTTCAGTATGTACCGAATTAAAAAACCAATAATGCGAGTCAGCCAATGTAGTCTCACTAAATTCCTGACAGTCGTTGGAGTAAAGTAGCTACAGATTTCTTCTCATTAGTGAAAGCACCAAGAACTACATCACAGTTGTAGACTATTTCTCAGATTTAATTGAAGTTAGTGAACTGCAGAACACTACTTCCACTTCAGTCAACAGGCCCTAAAAGAGCATTTTAGCAGACATGGTATCCAAGATACTGTGGTTTCAGACAATAAATCCCAGTTCAGCAGCCACGAATTTCATGAGTTTTCACTCTCCTGGGAATTTAATCATGACACATCTTCACGTCACTATCCAAAGAGTAATGTTAAAGTGGAATTGTCTGTAAAGATTGTCAAGCAGCTTTTCAAGAAAGCAGATCGAGCGTGACAAGAAAGATCCCTAGCTAGCCTTACTCAACTATCGTAACACCTCCGCAGAAGGTGTAAGTGAAAGCCGCGCTCAGAGGCTTATGTCAAGGAGGACTCGTACCTTCTTGCCTACCACCGCAAGTCTGCTGCGTCCTACAGTAAATCACAGCTCTGTTGATAGTCTTCAACTGAAAAGACAAAAGGCCACCTTCTACCATGTCAGACACATCTTGGAGTTGCCAGAGCTGGAAATTGGACCGAAAGTCGCACCCCTTCGTAAGAATCAAACATGGAAGCAAGGAACCTGCACTGAGAAGCTTTCAGACAGATCATACGTAGTTCAGTTGGGTGGCATGAAATTAAGAAGAAACAGGAAGTTTCTGAAACCTGCAAGGGAACCGTCAGTATAAGTAAAGCCAGATTCCAACCTTGACAATGATGTACATAGAGAACCTGTGCGGTGCTGTTCCTGAGGAGACAAAGGTTTCAGTACCTTGTATCCAGAGAAGGACCCGCAGCATTCGTCCGCCAGTAAGATTCAAGGATTTTGACATGGAACGTTGAGCTTGTTAGAACTTTGAACATTTTAGGGTTTTCACTTTTGTTTTTTTTTCCTGGAAGTTAAGAGAGGACAGAACTTCTTTATAGATAGTTTAACACCGTGTCACTAGCCATGTGTTGTGATTTTAAATTTAGTAAAACCTCGTTTACATTACTTTTGTTAAGAAAGGGGAACTGTTACGTATATAGTTGTTCTTACCATATTTCGGTATTGTACGTTTGCATAAACTAGGATGCATCTTACATGAAGTAGGCATTAACAGCATGGCATCAGGATACGTTTGCGTTTCGTGTTAACCGAGTAAATACCGGGTGTGTTCCTTTCGGCGAATCCAAAAACGGATTTTTGATCCTAGATTTGCCAGATTTCGCGGTCGAAAGGAACGTGAAATCCGAAATTGGATTTGTAACCTTGGTAACCTTTCCCCAACGCGTGCGATATGCACGACAGCCTCTCAAAAAATTACGTGTTTTCTACTGTTTGACAAATTATGCGATTATACCGTGCAGAATTTAGTGGTCGGCAGTTCGAATAGCGACGATGGAACATATAAAACAGACAAAGAAAGAAGCCCATTAAAATTAAAAATTATCTAAAGAATGTCGGCCAGTTTGATCCAGTTCCATATCTCGGATTTTTTTATGTAACACGATCGAGTGCCTGTCGCGTCTACAAGCGAGTTTGTAGTTAGATAGCAGTCCATTTGTTACTTTTACTTATTTCTGATTTCAAGCAATCTTTAGAGACAAATGGTTAGTATATGGATATTTTAATGTACCAGGAACAATCTTCTAATGTTTTCAGATGTTTTGCGGCAAATGACAGCAACGAGGAAACTCTACGGCCTCAAAGGGAATACTTCAACTAGAAATACCGCTGATACCGCTGACTAATTTCGGATCCACTGTGAATGGAACAGCGTAGATCACCAATCCGTTAATCTGGATTTGGATTTTTCGGATTTCAAATCCAATGAATCCTTTTTCAAAAAGGATTCACCAGATCAAAAATCCGGATTTGGATTTGCCGAAAGGAACGCGAAATCCGTTCTTAGATCTAAAATCCGTTTTCGGATTCACCGAAAGGAACACACCCACTATTTACAGACAAAACATCAAGTCGACTGGGAGTCTGCGACATGTATTACATATTCAACAAACTACTATCAACTACTCATGTTAGAAAGTTGGTTTTACTAACTTAGAAGAAACGCCACTGAATTGTGGTCAACAGTTACCGGCACCGTACGAACAACTTATTGATGGACTCAAGCAAAACTAAATACGGGAGAACGACTGGACAACTGTGAATTTGACTAACAATTAACGACCGTTTAACTGTGACAATGGTCGGATCAAAACGCACCAATGACATTACAACTCTTCATAGCCAATGACATCATGGCTTAACTGACAGACGACCAATAACGCCTTAACTTAATTGACCAATCAGATCAATAACCAGAGTTTAATACCATCAACTGACATGATCCAAATCACTTTGACTCCGAAGATGAGTACCGCACAGGTTGTTGAAACGTCAGTCACTATCAAGAACAGTCCTATTCAGGACTACGTTCACCGGACGATCATACTCAACCTACTCATGAAAGATGTAAATAACCAGCTACCCCTTAATTTGTTCTTCCTTTTAAGACTTTGTTCTTCCACAATAGCAACAGAAATACGTGTCACGTTCTGTCGATCACGAAGGAAGATCACTTCAAGACGCAATCGGCCATGCTGTTACTAACTGTCATTCTCTTTTCTCAACGTGGCAAAAAAAAGATTTTTAACTCTAAAACCCACGCTATAGATAGCTAGCCCTTGAAAAAAACTGTTTGGTCACTTTTTTGTCACCTAACTGAAAGAAATTTTTTGCAGTTTGAAAAGCCTTGGGAAAAGTAGCATTAGTAAAATATGAAAGTCAGGAAAATCTTCACAGTAGAATGAACAACCTAAGTGGTTGAAGAAGAGCTGAACAAATTTGGGCTTGACCAGGAATCAAACTCTGACCTTTGCGATGAGCAGGATACAACGATGTATCCATTGAGCAAATCAAGCCATCTGGAGAGCAAGCCATTGTGCGTTGTTAATATACCCAATGGTGGAATTGAAATAAATTAAAATGATTATAGTTATGAAATGAATCATATTTGAACGTCGGATAGAGATTAGAAAGTGAACATGATCTTCACGGTAGAATGAACAACCTAAGCGGTTGAAGGACAACCTAAAAAAAATCGGGCATGACCAGGAATTAAACCTTGACCTTTGTGATGACTGGATGCAGCACTCTATCCATTGAGCTCATTAAGCCAACTGGAGAGCAAGCCATTGTGTGAGTTCATAATATACTAATATACTGTTATTATCTCGTATCTATTTTTGTGTTTCAGGCTTAACTTAACAAGAGTCTTAGCCTTTGGAATGTGTTCTTCTGCTGTTATGGTAAATTACTGATAATTATACACAGCAGATTTTATTTATTAATTTATTTTATTCTTTTTACTTTTATTTTTTCTCTATCTCCTCATTCAAACCTTCCTTACTCAAAATTCCTTATGTAGGATCTTTTATTTGTTTACATGTTGTACTGTAGGTAAAGTCTATTCTTAGGTGAAACCAATAGTCAACCTGCCTTTTAGGGTTAGCTTTCGGCTGGAAAAAAGGTTCTAACCCTGTTACCCAACAATTATTTATTGTTTGATGATTCGTTTAACCTTAGAATGGATTTCACCAACACCTTAGAATAATACTTTTATATCAAATGACCCATCCCATGTTGAAGGCAGAAAAAATTAAAAAATACTGAGATCTTGCAACGTCGATGTAACTGCGTTGTATCATTCATACTTTATCTGAATGCTGTGTTCAACTTTTGTCAGGTATTTATGTTTGGAACTGTCAGCAAATGGATTGGAGTTTATAACATTTGGTATTATGGAGTGTTTATGGCACTGAATGGTAACTAAATCCTCTCTTTATTGTATTGACTGTAAAAGTAACATCAATTTGATTGTTCAGATACATCACTGATTATAGAATATGCTTTGATTGTGTAAACATTACTGTTCTCTTAGGGGATTTTTCTGTGTGGGAGGTGTATGTGTACTTTTATTTTTTAAATTTACAGCACATTTAAGATAAGAATAATCTGCATTTTATATTAATTTCAGGTTTGTTTCAATCTACTGGTTGGCCTTGTGTAGTGGCAGTCATGGGAAACTGGTTTGGGAAATCAAGGTATTCTACAACTAGTCAGAGATTTAATAACATGAAAAATTGATATTATAAGTTTTACACACAGCTGTTAGGTACATAAAGCCTTAACCTCCATAACAGTTACGCCAGTCAACAGAGCAAGTAGAAACACCAGCACACGATCCAAGAACAAATACAAACAAACAAGAACAACGTCCATGGAGCAAAGGTGTCTGGGTAAAGACAGAGCCTTCTTGTCTACAATCGGCAACAAAATTGTTGAGACATTGTACTCAAATAGTGTAACTACAGAGAACAAAAGAATCCACACCCCTTCCCCCTACCCTTCATTCAAAGTTGGGGTGTTTGTTGTTTTCTATAGGTAGCATCAACAGCGGCACAACATTGCATGGAGGGGATGGGGAAGGAAAAGCTTTATTTTCCCCTCTGGAAGTCAGTAAAGCGTCAGGAAGCCCATTTAGGGCGAAGTGTTTCAACTAATTTTGTCGCCGATTGTATGTGCGCACAGCTCACTAAGTGATACAATAAGTGAACAAAACAGAATAATGCCTAAGTTTGCAACTGTCTCTCTTCCTGTCTCTTATAAGGCCAGGGTCTTGATGGGGCATACTGATACAATACAAAGTCCTTGAGGTATCGTGGAGGGCGGCGATCGGATGTCGATCGTGGGGCTGGACAATCTGCGAGCCATGGAAAAAAAATAAAGTTTTGTGAAATTGCAAATACATGAAAAATGTTTTGTGCGTAGTTCCCTTTGGGGTTGTGAGGTTTTGCTGCTGGAATAGTTGCAGAATTAAGCAGTCTTGGTCGACTTTCATTGATTAGGGTTGACTAGGGTTAAGCACTCATTTGACGGATTAGGCTTAAGCGCCGTTTAGGGTTAAATACTCATTTACAACAGTTAGCTTTCAGTTATTTTTTCGATGCTACTGCTTTTTCGATTTTTTGTAATTTTTTTCGCATGGGTCACTGGCTCGCCGTGTGTCCTAACTCGTCGACTGTTTTGGTTCGACGTCTTGGTCTGGCTGGTTGCAGGGATTAATTTCTTGTGTCCCCGCCCCATGTGAGAAATCTGAGAAGTAAATAATATCCTCGTAGGTGACAGCAGAAGTACAAATTAATTCTAAAACATAGTACTCTATTTCAATACTTGGGTTTTTTTGCAAACTAATCAAAATTCAATCCCTAACTTGGAGTTATCTACCAGTAGCTTGCTCGTGATAATGCAAGACTGTTCCGTTTTCGGAAAAACAAATTGAAACTACCGTCGCAGAGCACTTCAAACAATTAACCACAGACGATCTGCCTTACTCGAGAAGGTCCACTTCATTTTGCAAACTGCAGTCAAGGACTCAAAGAAAAAAGAAAAAGTTCCTCTAGTTGCTCTTCTGACCATTTGGGAGTTAAACCAAAACGTCACATAAAAAGTCACTTTTTGTTCTTTTAAATTAACTTTAGTGCGATCATTTTAACGTGCTCACTCTGTCAAATGTTGACAAACTTTCCTGGATTTGAATATTTCCTAACCATGAACCATCTCCAAGTTCACAGAAGAGAGAGAAAAAAAATTGTCATTTTTATTGTTATATTAATTACTCTCTCCGTAAAACTTATAGTCCTGCAATAACGGCAAAAAAATGGAGCAGAGTTCTTGTTTTGCTGAGGAAACTTATTGTTTGTTTTTGATATTCTCATTGCTGTCTTACCCATGACTCCCTTCACTTACCACTTGAAATGGATAGCTTGCTCACAGGCTATCACCATTGTGACATCCAGTAAACTTCCTTTCTTTCCTCTTATTTCCTTTGTGTCTTCCCATCAAACCTTACAGCTTGAATCATGTTTCTTGTGAGCTTTTTAGCAGACTCTATGAGAGTGGCCACAATTGTTTAACAATGATGCCTTCAATTCACTTATTCCACATTTGCGCAGATAAATGTCTATTCTTGTGTTTGGAAGGCTACGAAACCCCAGCGTGGTTCTAAAGAGATAGGGGGAATTTAGACGCTTCAGGCTGACAGGAAAACACAAAAGCTTGGTTTTCCAATTGGTGTTTAATACACTAAGGGTTCGTTTCTTTACTAAAATCCGAGATCGGATCAAAAATCCGGATCATTAGGATTTTTTGTTAAGAACAGAAACGATGAATCCAAAAAAGGATTGTTTTTCATTCATTTCCATAGAAACGACCCACAATATCGACGGTATCCTGGAGAGAGAATAACACGGCTTCAGATAATGTTGCCAATTTGCTGATCTTTCCTTTTATTCGGGACGGTTAGCTCAAGGATACTGCTTTAGACGGGCCAAGTGAAGGTGTGTCTTGAAATAAGATATCTGCTTGAAAAGTAAAACATCGCAAGACGCGCCGGCGAAGTTGTGTTACAGTTTTGTCTCGATTTGTCCCTGTGAACTAGTACAATGCAGGTCCTGTTTGTATTGGGATTTTACCATTCCTATAAAATCGATCGTTCAATCCATGCCTCGAGTTCAAAAATGGCCGTAAAGATGAGCGGTGTTGTCAAACAGCTGCTGTATGTGTTAAAATTGTTTCGAGTTACCGCTGGCTGCATTCACTCTTTTCGGATCCGGAGAAAAGAAACGTTTCGGATCATGTATCCAAAGTATCCGGTTTTGGATATGATCCGAAGAATCCACCTCCGTTGTGGATCGTTTGGATCAATAATCCATTTTTGGATTTTAGTAAAGAAACGAAATATCCGTTTTCGGATTAAAAATCCGGATTTGGATTTTAGTAAAGAAACGCACCCTAAATATCAAATTTTCATGTCACATGTTTTCCTTATGTGACTTATTAGAAGATTATTTGGTTAAAATATGTTTCTAGAGTGAGGGTGACTATACCTGAGACATGAAACATTCAGACTCTCTGCTTGTCTAAAAAGCTCAGGTTATCATTGTTGATATTCTATTTTTAGCCGAGGAATTGTGTTTGGATTGTGGAGTGCTAATGCCTCTGTTGGAAATATTCTAGGAGCATTGCAAGTAAGCTATGTGTAGTATGTTTTTCTAGTTATTACCATTTCCCTCTGCTGAAAAATTTGTGCATTCTTAGGTTTGCAATATTTTAGTATCATTCTCCCCTTAATTCACAAATTGTAAAGAATATTAATGAAAGGATAAAGCAGCTCCTTTAGAATTCTTCCTCACAAAGTTTAACTTTAGTGTTAAGTACTTGGAGGACAGATGGAATACCATGTTAATCAAACCAATCAGCCTCACGAGCTGCCCAAGAAAAAGTGAAATATTGTTCTGGACAACTGGGAATCTGGAAATTGCAAAAATTAATTGCCTGGCGAGAAACAGCAGCCTCTTCAGTCGTAAATAAAGCCCCCCCTAAAAATAAATTAAGTGCCATGATTATGGTATGTTAGAAAAGAGACGTAGAAATTTAGACTGCGTTTAGTACTTTGTGCAAGTACAGCGAGTACATGTCTGCGGTACCCAGAATTGGGCAGTGTGTCATTTAGTGATAGCCGTCTTTGATTATGTGGCTGCAGTTGCTTAGTATGGGCATAACTGAATCAAAATTGAGATCAAAATATTGCCTCAAAATGTTTTTGGATATGTGACTGATAGCTTTTTAATAAGAGAAGCTGCTTACAGCTTATGTAATAATTGTTATCATATTAAGTAAATTTGTTTTTATCTTGCCGATCTCTCCTTTAGGTAGCTGCTGTTTTAGATTATGGGTATGAGGTCAGTAAAGTGGACAATCTCATCTTTACTCCTACTAGTAGCTGCTTTATTAATGTTAACTGGTTTCCCCTTTTTGATGGTAAGGGGGTGTTTTAATTTGTACGAAAAGTAAGTTAATGTTTGATTCAACCCTTTCATTCCTAACATCAAAATTCAAATTCTCATTATTTCTTGAAACGTTTCCTCTAGAAGTAGTGGGGAGAAGATGTTAAGGTCTCGGTAAATGAAAATTTTAGTACATTGCTCGATTTTGTTTTTTTTGGATTTTTGGCATGAGTGGGTCCTAAATTTTATTTTGGCAGAAAAAGAAAATCAGAAAGTGCTTTTTAACCGTTCTAAAATGAGCCTTTTCTGCGCTAACCAGCCAAGCGTGGACCTCGCGCTAAATCTTTAGAGCTGATTTTCTCTCACTCTATTTTAGACGCAAAAATCAAAATTCTCCGACCTCCAGTCGGGACAGGTTTTAAGCTATCGCTTTGAAACTTTCAGATATGATGGATAATGATATAGACTCAAAAAGGGTGTGAGGAATTTTCCGATTTCCTTTTGTAACTCATTTTATGTCAGTTTCTTTGCGTAAATCGCGCTCGAGATTCGACTTTTTAGTTTGAAATGCAATAATTCCGCTAATACGAGACATATGCAAATTTCCTCACACCCTTTTTTAGGTCTTTTATCTGTCAATCAGACGCAATAAAAAGGAAGTGAATATTTAACAACGCGAAAGGGCTGGAGCTTCAGCAGTAAACTCGATACCTCTGAGTTCGAGAGCAAAAAACTTAAGCGCCTTTTGAAATTCGATAAAATAAAATCTGTTATAAGGTAATTTAGTCTTGTAGCTTTAATTTGATATATAACTTGCCTTTGTAGCGAAAATACTCGCGCGACTAGAATTTTTTTCTGTGGGCACTTCGTTTTCCTTTACCGAGACCTTAAGGTATCAATAAGATTCACCGTCTGTGATCATGTCCTTAATCCCCATGACCAACTATGTTTTATAAGGATAAATTTCATGTTCATCACTCTTGGCTGGGCTTCAAGGGTTATGAGCCTACAGTAGCCCTATGACATTAAACCCACAATATCAGTAAAAGGTGTTGTAACCTCTCATGATCACCATCCTGGTATGGTTGGAATTGCCAGTAATAGTATAATTGTTGGTTCAGTGTCTCCAGCAGTCTTTTTCCATTTTATAAACCTTGTAATCTGTGGTCATTGATTCGATGAAGTGTCTGGAAACCATGCACTTTCATTATCCACTTGACAAGAATTTAATTTTATTCACCTTTCGAACAGCTGGGCCCTGAAAACTTTTCCCACTGTTATGTAAGAAAAAAAGGAGCAAAATGAATGGGCCACATGCTTATATTTACCCAGGCCACTGCTCCGGATATAACTTTTTAGCAGTCCCTCTAACCATAAGGGATAGCTGGTCTTGCTATTATACCAGCCGAGATTCCGAGAGTTCTAGCCCATTGCCCATTTGTTTGTGAGCTACGTTTTATGCCAAACAATGAAAGATCAGTAGTGTATTTAAATAGGCCTGTTCTGATTTTCGGGTACTTACTGGCAATTTTATTGGGCATGTGGAAAACCGGGAGACCGAACCCAGGAAAAAGAACAAGAATAGGATCAGGAACCATAACTGGAAGAGGACATAATATATCTTAATTCAATCTTGAAAAGAAAAAAAAACATATTGTAGAAACTAATTATAATTATGTATCAATTACATCCCCTGCTTTAAGGGGATGTTAACTGAGACGATTTGTTGCGACTAATTTGTGGTAACAGTGTAGATGTAGCAATTCGAGATAATGTCGTAGCATTGTTATAACACTGTGTTGAACTGAAAATCGTTGCAAATCAACATACATATGCATGTTGTAAACCCCTCTCTCCTTCTCCTCAATTATGGGTACCAACCCCACCCCCGAGCCTTACGTAACAGTCGTTTCCGTTTTCTTTAAGCCAAGCTGGAGAAGCGGGGGATACGTGCAAGGGCAGCATAAATAAGGGCAGTGAGGGGTAGGGAAGGGCGGGAAACGCCAGCCGCTATTTATCAGTGTATAAGAGGCAACAATTAATTACGATTAGACAATTGTCTGTCAATTAAGACCTGTGAATAGGTTCCTCACAAAGTGAGGCTTTTTAATTCCGTTAAAATTTGCATTACGTCTGGAACGTGCACAGATCACCTTGAGAGGCAAAAACACTTAGTTGGCTAAATTCTTTTTTAATTCGTATAATATACTCAGGTCTTCAAAAATGATGATTTACAGCGCCAACTGGGCCCACAAATATAAACATAGGTTGTAATGGCCCTGTAAATCATCATTTTTTGATACGGTGAACCCTGTATTAAGCGGACACCCTCGGGGAATGCTGTGGTGTCCGCTTAATACAGGGTGTCCGCCTAATACAGGTTTCGATAGATAACGTCATATGACGTTTCAAATGCCATTCAAATGAACAGTGGAAACGCTCAGAATACTCCCCGAGAGACTATGATGATATACGTTTGCATTAATTTCTTTATCAAAGTGGACCAATTGATTGTAGTACCATAAACATAGATTGCAACTCAAATTTGAAGAATTCAGATGAGTGAAACAAGCCCTATACAAACAAAACGAAATAGAAAACAATACTGTACTGTGAAACTAATCAAGTCACGTTTTTTAATGTAAAAATAAAAAAAATTATGGGTGGCAATTCCAGGCAATCTTTTGCATTTCCGGTGTCTGGCATGTTGGGTGGTGGAATTTAATTACAATTGTCCGTTGAATACAGATTGGTAACAGTAGAAATGACCATGTCAGGTACTTTTTAGGTGTCCACGTCCGCTTAATAGAGGTGTCCGCTTAATAAAAGTTTCATTTAAAGTAAATAAGGGAAATAAATTTGGGGACTTCGGCTACTGTCCGCTTAATAGAGGGTGTCCGCTTAATACAGGTTTCACTGTAATTAGAAAACAAAAGAGAAAAAGACATTTTTTGGAGATGCAAAAGTGTTACAATATTCTTTTAATATATTGTTAAAACAGCTATAAATTTTTTTCAAACTTCACCAAAGCGGTAAAGACAACGGTCTAAACTATACGGACAGTAGAGGATTTTAACAGTCGAGAATGATTGTTGCTAGATTTCGGAAAAACTCCCAATTTGTAGATTTCATGTAACCGTTATTCTGTTTCTCTGAAAGCGGCTTTGTCAACAAAACATACTTTAGATCTATGTTCTTTCAAGCCAAAGTTATGTCGCCAATAAGGAGTAAACTGCAAACCTGACGGTAGCGTTTAATGTCTACAGTTCTTGTGGCCTGTTTGACGGTCTGGTACCCTGCCTTAGGTGGGAATGAGTTTGCCTGAGGTGCGGCACTGTAGTTGTGTAGCTTGCCACCCAGCATGGCTGGTGGAGGGAATGCGAAGCCTTCGAAGACTTCACGCACGGAAATGCTGCACGCAACAGAATCTTACAAGTCTGCAATAAAGTTGCATATTTGGCTACTGGATTCGAGGTTCTGCTTGCAAAGTCGGAAGAAAGATTTTCAACCCCAGCAATGTGGAACTAGCAGAAAACTCCCCTCCCTTGAGCTTCTCTTAGGCTTGGAGACAAGGCCTACTGTCCGTACGAACTTCGGTTGTATGTGGAGACTGGATGATATGTGGAGCAAAGTGGTTTATTGCAGCAGCTATAGCCAGGGCTTCAATCTCGCATGGTAGCAAGGTAACTTGATGTTTGCGCAGTTGCATTGAAGAACCCAGCCAAGAGTAAAGGTCGGTACACACTAGGCGACAAGTTGCAGCAACATGTCGCGGCGACACGTTGCAGCGACAAATCGCTTCGTGTGTACTGGAGAATTTGTGTGAAAATCTTTGTCGCTGCAACAGAATTTGTCGCCGCAACAAGTCGCACAGATTCAGTCTGATTTGATTTTTTGCGACTTGTTGCAGCGACAAAATTCTGTTGCGGAGACAAAGATTTTCACAAAAATTCTCCAGTACACACGAAGCGATTTGTCGCTGCGACGTGTCGCCTCACCTTGTTGCTGCAACTAGTCGCCCGACCTGTACACACGGAGTGATCTGTCGCCGCGACGTGTTGCAGCAACTTGTCGCCTAGTGTGTACCGACCTTAAGGGGTCATTCCCGTACGCGTATAGTGTTGCTGCGATGCCCTCTGTTCTTCACGAAGCCATCAAATCAATCGCGATCCACAAAGCATGACTTGTTTGAGGAATTTTGCTGCCCTCTAAGGCACATTGGGCAGAGTTGAAAGCCAGGCCGGAGTAGTCCGTCAAACCACACGTGTCTTTCTCTTGATTTATTTCCGGCGTTGGCCTGGTTGAGAGGATCCAACTCCTAAGTACCGAGGGAGGACGCAGCTGAGCACCTTGTAAGCTCCGACAAAGGAGCACAGGGCTTGAACAGTGAACTAGCCTGAAGGGTGCCATTTGACCACACACATCGCAACACGTGAAGGTTGCTACGGAGAAGAGAGAGAACGCGCCTATAGTTGTGAAGAACATCAGCAAGCAATGAGGTGTTGAGGTATTCACCTGCTCGGGTTTAGCAAACACACCAGTAGCATCAAGCTCATTGAAATAGTCTTGCAGCTCCTTTAAAGGTGCTTCTGTTGTACTGTGGGCGTCTGCCTTTAAGGTGAGGAGGGAGTGTGGGACCAATGTTCACGACAGCTTCAATAAGGCCACTGGCACTATTGTATTTTGAATGGCAGCGTTAAACACATCGTCAAATTCCAGGTATAGGGCTCTGAACTTGTGTCTTTTTGGAACCATGAAGGGATTACCCGCTAAAATATCAACATCGAGTTAGCGAACAACCAGGGCGTCTAGCTCGAATGTTCGATTTCCATGGGTGAGAATACAGTGCACCTCACCAATCACTCTGATGGGCAGGGGAGATAGGAAACCCATACAGCAGTGCGGCCGAGGCAGGAGCCATATTAGATATGGCACCAGTATCGCGAGTGAGCTGCACAGGGTGCTCATGTAAAAGGTGTTTGAGTACAGGAGATGGGTTGATGTTTACACGAAAGGTATTAGGCTGACTCTAGTGTATAGGATGCTCGCGTGCGAATGAATGTCTGTGATATAATATACTCGAGACCTACTGAATTTTCATGTATATATAGAGCGTGTGTATTAATTTATTCTATCAGTTTTAGTTTAGTATGACAGTGTAACGGACGGGAATAAACTGTGTTTTATCCTCACCGCGGTCTGCTACATTGGCGACGAGGATTTCGAGGATTTCAAGAGTTTCGTCAAAAATTTCGCGATGCCGGGGAACGGTGGATCAGGCAAAACTGACGCGACAAGCGGTGATATTTGCGGTTCTGGAATGACTTCGATTATTTAGATGTCAGTGGATTGGAACCAGTTACTCCTTAGGGAGAAACAAACAATTCGACGGCAAAAGATGTTTCGAACGACGCGCAAAAGCGAGCTCTACTGTTGCATGTTCTTGGCATGTACGTTTAAGAACTTTATTTCACATTAGCCGTTGATGGTTAGGATACGAGTTTTGAAACAACGCTTCAGGTGCTTCACGATTATTTTGTTCCCAGGGAATGTTCGAAACTGTAGTGCTTACGTATGGTATGGCCGGTATGGTAACTTTATTTATACACGGTATTTACTTCAGGTTCATTTACGTTCAAGTATAGAAAACTAACTACCTAACTAAACTTAACTAGAATCTAAGATAAAAACTGAAGTAATAAAGATGAAAAGAAAACACCTGCTTTTCAAGGAGGCCGTGTGTAAAAATAACGTATCGCTAATTTAATTTTCCCTTAAATACATTAGGGGATGACAATTGCCGAACTTCCAGAGGCAAGCTGTTCCATAACACGCTTCCGCTATGAGAAAGACTCCTTTTATAAAATTCAGTGCGGGGTTGTGGAACAGCGAGCTTGTATTCATTCTATCTAAGGTTAGAACTAGTTAAATCGCAGCGACGAACAAAACGCGAAGTGAGATACTCTGGAGCTGTGTTAGTTACAATGCTATGCATCATTATTGCTTTACTAACTACGCGCTGATGGACAAATTTCTACCACTTTAAATTCTGAAACAATTCACTAGTACTGCAGTCATAATTAGAGAAAGTTAGAACTCGAGCGGCGCGATTCTGCAAGTGCGGCAATTTACAAGATAGGTTCTTAGAACAGTTTCCCCATACTACATTACAGTAATCAAAGTGTGGCTGTACCAGTGAATTGTATACGTTAAGTAGAATCTGAAAATGGAGAGTATACCTAATACGCCTAATCGCACTTATACCAGAAACCATCTTCTTAGAGATTTCATTAATATGACACTCCCTAAAAAGATTTCCATCGATGTGAACACCTAGGGATTTTGAAGTCGTTTAACGGAAACATGGTTTGTTTAATCGGAAAGATAGGTGGTTAATTGGTGGGGGGATTCCTTTCTCTCATTTTAATGTGATCAGCATGTTTGGTAACCTTGATGTCTTAATGTTTGTCTAGCGTTGACAGTCCAGTTAATAAAAATTCTGTCTTAGTGGTGTTTAGTGTAAGTTTGTTCGCTGCAAGCCATATACGAATTCTATCTAAATCTATGTTAACACAACACTCTATTTCTTCAACATTATTACTCGCATAAGTGATACTAGTGTCGTCAGCATACATTCTTGGTTGTGAATGCATGAAACAATTCTCACGCGTAAACGGAGCTGAACGGTTGATTGATGAAAAACCTAACCTAAAGCGGTGTAGTCTATTTCCTTTTTCTCAGTAGAGAAGTGGTGATTAATTTCTTGCAACTGGCCAAATTGCAGAGTTTCCTTTCCTTTTTTACCATTTTTACCATTTTTTTTTCGAAAGATTGGCTAGCGCGACCCCCGACACTGTCATTCCTGGCATGTTGGAAGGCTTAGGCTAAGTTGGGGGAAACTTGCTACTTTGATTTTCGTTCAGTTTAAACAAACACTCGAAACCTTTCTTGGGCGGTTAAGATTTCTGGCGTTTTCTTTCAAGTTTTCTTTGTTTGTTGCTGTAAGTTTTCGATTATAATGATTGGTTATTATATGACAGCTAACGTCCCGTCGGATCGAAACGGTTTTGTGCCATTCTGGAAAAATGTCTCTGGTCAGCAGCAAGCGTTTCCTTTCCTTCCCTGCCATCCGCTAAACCCTCCGTCTACCCTGTAACCTTGAATTTTTGTCATCCCTTCTTGACTGCTGTCTGCGACCTTGAAAATTTTTAAGACGTTACATTTCACTGGCATTTCCATCTCAGCGGCATGTTTTATTTACATAATGCTAGGTCAGATCAGTTTTGTTTACTGTAAACATGAGTTAAGACTTTCTCAAGTGCCCCATTTGTCTCACCAGTACCTGTCCCTCTCATTCTGTATAACCTATAGCATATAATTTATCACATTTCCTTCTTTCTAAATCCAACAGTCGGGGCAGCTCTATTTATTTACTTTTGAGGTCGGTAAAAAGTTTCATGAATTTTGTAACCTTCTTAAAACACTAATTAAAAGAATGAGCTCTCCAATCATAGTTTCTTATAATTGTCATTAATACCTGGTACTGTGCATATATTTTCTTATTGCAGTATGCCATGCTTGTACCTGCTGGGGTGTTATTTGCATTTGGTATTCTGGTATTCTTTTGTTTAATTCCCTCGCCTGATCAAATTGGTAAGTCCATTGTGTTTAAAGGGCTAGGCTCATTTGTTGACTGCACACTAGAGCCTCCAAGTATAATGTAAGTGTACTTGGAACCTACTTTGAGTGTGAAGAGGTAGAATGTACAACTTCAACTTCACTTAGTGATCATGGAAACTTTCGTAGTTCAAAGAAGCCGAAGTTGGCTCCCAAGTATGGTCTGCGCCACACTTGAGAACACACTTGACCACACACACTGAAACTGAAAACTTTGTTCAGTGAAGACTACTATTTAGACAGTTATGTCCTGGCTACTTTTCATCAAACAGCAATAATCTTTAAGTAAAAAAGAGAATAAAGAACCCTACCTGAAATGTGAACCCACAGCAATTATACGAGTCGGTAAAGAACAGCCAAGAACACCTTGGGAACTGAGGCCAATGTAATTTTGCGCGGGAAATATCAACCTTGTTTCCAGGCTACTTTCTCACTTTCTTAGAAGCCTGGGGACAAGGTAATATTGCAGATGATGTCAGGATATTTTCGGAGTTATTCAATTTACAGTCTGTAAACTGCGGTCAGCGTTTCTCAGTATGCAGTCTGCCTGCAAATGTCATATACCGTATAAGGGAAGCTATTAGGGACTTTAAGCAAGACTACGGAAGGGTCAAGTATGGTGACTGGAAGTATTTTTTCCCGCCACCAGTCAATGCCTCAAGTCAGAGATTTTAAGGATACCCGGCTACGGTTGTGAAAACGTCGCTTAAAAATGAATTCCCGTTTTATCAAGTTAAAGTCATGCAGTAACCCCTAGTGGCAAAGCAATTTTTTCATGAAAAAGTGCGATATATGGGCGAAATTCAGGACTTGGTGAGATTTTATCCTTTATCCTCTTTCCCGTCAACTGCATTTTGTGTATTTGGTTGTATTTTTCACTTGGTGGATGTCGTGCCTGACACCGGATTCGGGGCTCATAATCAAAAAATAAGCCTTCGCAAATTTTTAGGGATAACCGGAAAAAGGTTAAACATAATGCACATATCTTGCGATTGGGTTTCGAATATACACTCTCGTTCAAAGCACGTAAAATACTACAGATACTTAACGTATTTGACACTACCGCCCGCCACGAACTTCTACGTATTCGGTAAGCGTACCCGCGTACTACGGCCAGTCACTAAGTTTAATTAGCATATCAACAACTTTGCACGTTCTTTTTTCCCATCGCTGTACGACCACGACGTGAAAATGCCTAATTTCACGTTTTATTGATGACATAAACGAAGAGGAACATTTTTCCTTTATGAGTTCGCCTACCGAGACAAAGTAAGCGACTTGTAATAATCACGAAAAAGTTTTAAAAAATGCCAATTCACTTTTTATTAAAAAGCGACGTTTTGACCGCTGTTGCCGTGTCAGTTGTCCCAATCGTAAACGGTCGCTGCCATTTTTTAAGTGTCTTCTTTAACTAAGATATCAATAACAGGTGACTCAAGCCCATAACCTTTGACGTAAATTCAACTCGGGCTCCCACATCGTTCTTTCTAAGACTATTCGAAAACATTTATTTGCCTTAATGTAAATTAATCCAGGGAATATTATAACTTCGATGTGACTCCAAGCTTGGTTAGTAAGGTGGCATCGACAGTTAAAAAAATGGTGACAACCGTTTACGAAAGGGAACTGATAGGCGTCTCCGTCGTGGTGTCTTAAACGCGTGGCAGGAAAAAATTATTTTCGGTCATCGTACTTGAAGTCCCTAATTATGTGACGGAATTACACTGCCAACTGTTAATGCGTTAATGGGTGCGCTCTGTAGCGAATTCATGGTTTAAGAAATTATCTCAGAGGCTCGCAGTGTGACCTTCAAGTCTTATGTTTTTTGGAAAGTTATTACTTCGTTAAAAAGTAACTTAATAAATATATATGTTGATTTCCTAAAGTTGGGCCTGAGTTTGCAAGTAATGGAGTGTAAATGAGAACTCCCGCTTGTACTTCTCATCCCAAATAATATTTGATGGTATTTTACAGTCCGAGAAAACAAAGTGTAAATTTTGAATTTCTAATTTTTTCATATAACCGTCTTGTTTGGGACACCAATCAGACTCTCCAAATCATTTCAACATTTCAAGGTTTCTTAGTTTTGGCAAGAGAGAATGAGCTAGGTCATTCTCTCTTGGTTATAGGGTTCGGCAGGTGTGATATAATGTTCATGATTTGAAGGATAATTGATCTGATATCCATTAGTTTTCTTACTATAAACTAGAGTAAAATATTAGGGCATTGATTTGTAACAGATTTCACGACTACTGTAGTTCATTTTTAGTAAGAACCGTAAGAATGTATTAACGTCAGTTTAATTGTTTATATTCGAACAGGATTGCCAATGCCTGAAGAAGAAAACCAGCCTTCACAAGCAAGCGACCATGGTAGAAAATTTGTGGTACTTTGTAGAGTCAACAAGACATTTCTAATTTTCCATATGACCAGGAGAATTTAAGTAGCCTGCGGAGCTAGGGGAGGGATGAAGGAAAGCGTATACTTAGTGGAAGGCGAAGCTGCAAGAAGAAATGGGGTAGAAACAATGAGAAACAGTTTTTATTGTTCTTGCAGCTTTGCAGCTCATTTGTGTGCCCTTGGCAAGTGCCTTAATGCCATTCAGTTAATGTTCACTAGACAAAAATGCCACACAGGTTAGTTTTTTGGTGATGTCTATTGGGATTTGCTAGCCATTGGTGACAATATGGAAATTTACCAAGGGTTAGATAAGAAGTTAGTGACTGGTGATGTGCAGATGTCTGTTTGAGCACACAAGGCCTACGTTTGTCTTGATTTCACCTCAATGCGTGCAATTTTTGTATGTACTAGAAATACGTTTTCGCAAAAATCTCGCGAAGCTAATAGGAGGGGTTAGCAGTATACAATTAACGGAAACAAGCCAAAGGGTAAGACTACGATGAAAAAAAAAAAATCAGCAATTTGCCCCGCCGGGATTTGAACCTGCACCCCGACTTCCTCCATCGCCAAATGGGCGGCCTTATGGCACTGGACCATGCGACTACTGCAGGGATTACCACAGTAAATTAATAGTGTAGAAGTATTTTTCTCTGCCATTCACACCGTTTGAACCTTGTGGAGCTGTATTTATCTTGAATTCAAAGATACATTTGAGGAAAAATAGCTTAAACGAGTATTTCAGAGCCATTTCGCATTCTTTCCGTGTATATTCACTTTCGGGCTTTACAACAGCCGTTCTTTCGGTGTCAAATCTTTCACGGAAAGGAATTCCAGCCACTTGTCGAGTCGGGCACTGTTGTGTTTGCAGCCCGCTGTTATTTGCCTCAGAAAGACTGCGCGATTCGCCAGGTAATTTAGCCTGCGTGGCAAGCGCTTGAAAATAGTGGGCGCAAGAAAGAACGGATCCAAGCACCTGCTACGCAGTTACAGGTGATTCGCAAAAGTACAATAAACAGAGGATGAATAAAATTAGCCATAGTCGGTGGCTAACAAGTTGTGTTGCCTAGAAACCCGAAATGCACGATGACATCATAGAGCTTGTTTATGGTTTGTTGCTAGGCAACTGCGGATACCAAACCGATAGAAAGAAAGATTTATGACCAAAGCGAAATCGCACTCAACTTGCGATCCTCGCGCGACAAAATTAGGTTCACTTTCCAGTATGGTTTGCGTCCTTCCATTACGTTCACAAACTGGCCAAAAATCAAGCTTACTTATGTTGCAATCTAACGTTAAGCCTTGACACGTACTTCAAAAATGTAAAGTATTGAAGTACGTGGTTTAGGTGTACGTGTTCAAGGTCTGTAACACAAACTAGTATTTAACTGTAAATTATTCCTCAGTTTCAGTGTTGACTGACCACTCAGTAATTGAGCAGGAGGCTTTTACTAACATGGCTTCACAAGGCAATACTTCAGTGAGTATTTAACACAGTAAAAATGACACATAAATTTGTAATTTATTCTCACTTCATATCTTTGTCGCATCATGGTAAACTAAGTTATGGGAGGAAACCGTTACTGCCTTGGAAAAGATGTGCAGCGTGGCTTGATTATGTGGCCACCGCCACAAGGGGAGGTTGGTGGGGCGAAAAGCGCTTCCTGCCATCAATCCCGTCAAACTGCGAGATTTCGCGCCACGCTGCCCAAATTTATGATCGTAATCGACGCCGATTGCCGAGAACTCTGGGATTGGTAGAACACAGCCATGTTTCGAGAGGAATCCGTTCTCGTAGAACGAAGGCATGTTTGCAAGACGCGCTCATTATATATGCAGTTGGAAAAGTGACCTAGAATAAGATTGTTTGTTTGTTAAATAGGTGTCTTTAATTGCCAATAAAAAAAATACAATGAAATGAAAGTAACGCCAACAGGTTTACAAACAATAACTGTTTTGAGAATAATATTTAGCAATTATTTAATGAGGCTGAGTAGGATATGAAGAATTCTGCAGATCGAGGAGGGTGTTATCCACCGAGGCCGAAGGCGGAGGTGGATAACACCCTCCGAGATCTGCAGAATTCTTCATATCCTGCGATAGCCGAATTCAATAATTGCTTTATTATTCATTCAAAATAATTCCAACTTTAAAAACAAGCTAAAAATGCTTACCTCGGTCGATGTTAAGTTCACATCGATAGTGCATCTTTTTCGGGAAATTTAGCAGATAAAGGTCTGCTCAGGTCTGCAAATATACTCCAAATAGCGGATGTTGTCCGTCGAGTTGACTTCTCGCTGTTTTTGCTATGTTTTTAGACGATATTTTGTCGTGAAACGAGTACAATGTCCGCCAGACAGTTCCGCCATTTTGTTCAAACAACCAAAACAACTCAACCTCGTCCCCAGGTTTCCTCGGTCAACGGTTCAATATGACGGTTGAATATGACAGTTCAGCCGCTGGTTATGGTGAATTATGCGTGTGGTTTTACCCAAGTAGAAACGGGGAATTATTTTGAATAAATAGTAATGATTTTTAATAATACTTTTAACATGGTTCGTTGTTGTTAGAGGTTGAAAAACACCGTTTTTCTCAGCTAGTGTGAAACTGATGTAATGTTCAAAACACGAACAGCAGTGCTTTTTGACCAGCGATAAAGCACGTGCTGTGAGTGCTTTTACGTTCAGTGTACGTTACGCTGGGCGAATTCAATGCTGGCCACGCTATGGTTGGTTTTGGCTACGATGTAAAGTCATTTCCTGGCAGGAACGATTGCTTTAAAAGATCACGTTATGTCGCAACCGACAATGGCACCGCTTCTTTGAATTAATAAAGTTTGTAAAGCTGACCTAGTAGAGCCTGTTCGCTTCGAGTCTCATGTTGCTGGCTGGAGACGTATGTCCACAACCTGCCTTGCAGTTGGATTTCTTAACACTGCAAAAGTGTCTATTAAGGCCAACGGATTTGTAAATGGGCATCTTTCGGGGGAAATTGGACCAACTGAAGCACATTACAAACAATGCACAAACTTTTGACATCTTGACTCTCGCAGAAACCTGGCTGAACGAGAATATTCATGATCAAGAGGTACATATCCCTGGCTTTCGGTCTTTTTGACGGATCAAATGGGAAGAATCCGCGGTCGTGTTACCTTTTTCTACCGGGAAGGTTTGATATGTACCATACATGTAGGTGATGACCTAAACTATGGAAATGAATCCCTCTCGTTACAAGTAAACCGTCTGAGATGTAGACCACGTATTATTGGGTGCGTCTACAGACCTCCCAATCAATGTATGGATGAATTCCTGGGTAATATGAATTATTCACTTTCACCAATTCACCCGAATGACGCCAAAGTGTTCCCGGCGATTTTAATGTTGATTTCTCATCTACCACCAGAAATGCAAACTTTTCACTAAAACGTAATTTCTGGAGACGTGCTGAACTTGACGATCTCACTCAAAAAATTCACTGACACGTATCACTGAACATACATGTTATTTACAAATGCAACGCAAAAGGTGACTGAAATTGGAGGCATTGATCCCGGTCTCAGTGGTCATTCACTTATTTACTGCGTGCTGAAATCTGGAGTTCCTCGAGTCCCCCCTAAGACAGTTTGACAACAAACAATCGTTCATTACGGACATTCATGGCTTGTTGACATTTGGAACAAGCTGTTTCTGCACGTTGCTAGTTCTCATGTGCCTATTAAGTCTCGAAAGGTTAGAGGATCCCCGCATTTCAAGAGAAAAATGCAAAAAGTAACAAACGTGGCCATCACTGGCTGTGATGCACACCGATGGGAAGGTACACATGAGATTATCACTCGGCTCAAATTTCCAGTTCTTGCCTCAATTTAAAATACTGTCTGGCTCCTTTACCGCTCCTCACAAGCAAAATACATCGTTGATACTTGAGAATTCACAATTTTTGTGTTACCGCATCAAACTACAAACTAGAACGCGAAACTTCAACGCGAAGCTGCCCGACTTTTCGACTGCAGGTTATGTTTTCATTATACATATTTATAGTGACAAACCTAACAGTAAAATGAAAGCTAACCATTTCGAGTCAGTGCCTAGCCCTAATCACTATGTTTAGTGCTTAACCCCAATCACTATAACGTTTTTCGCGAAGTTTTAAAGTGTCATAACCTAAGAGCATAGAAATTAAGAGATTACGTATTCAACGTTAAAAGACCTATTTCAAAATAAACGTCATATCTAAGGCAGGGGCAGATGTATTGGGGACTATTGCTAGTTAGTTTTGCGATAGTGGTCTGCAAATTTCCCATTTTGACAGCTGTCAGTTGACCTTGATTTGACTTGCGAATATAACTTAAAACTACTGACAGCCGAATGGCAGCCTGCCTGGTAGGTAGGTAGGTACGTGGGTAGCAACTTTATTTCATGGGGGTAACACATGACAGTAAACACTTATGAACTAGTGGCCCTCAATCGTAATGAAAATATTTAGAACTAATAAAAGTAGACACGACGAATTAAAATTTAAAAATACCACCAGATACAATCCTAAATTACGATATTAAAAGCTACTAAGATAAACACAGCGAATTTAAAAATACTACATGATAAGAAGAAGTGATCTGTACATTAGAATTTAAAAATATGAAAACATATATACATATAATAACTAGGCTAAAAAATATTTTTTAAGAGCATTCTGTTGATTGCCTGCGTGCAGACGTCTCCTATTTCCAAAGGAAATAGGAGACGTCTGCACGCAGGCAATCTGTTGAAAGCGTAGTTTCATTTTTGAGCTATTTCATATGTCAGTGGTTTGAACGTATGTATCTTTGCAGCTTTGTGTCTTTGTGGTTTTGTGTGTTCGGATTTCTGTTGCAGGAGCCAATAAGGTTGAAGGTAGTATGAGTTGATGCTTAGGAACCAATGAGATTTTGGCATCTAACATTACATTCTCTCGGCTTAAGGTCAAACAAGGGCAATTTGAGACCGCCACGTTGATTCTTCACAATTTTTTCGTCTTTTATTACGGCTAAAGGTGTTTAGAAGCATAATATTGAAATATCTTTATGATTTAAACGCTGAATACAGCGATGGAGCTGTTTAAGGGTCCATATTTTAGTGTGGGTGCTGCTTCAAGACATTTCTGACCTAATTCGCCTAACGCGAACGGTACAACGCACGTATTTCATAATGTATGAGTTTAGTTTCACCTGCTTCAAGGTAGAGTGTAAAAGATCATATATTTTTCAAAGTTCCTCCAATGAAAGAATAATTGAAATTTAGATATGTATGTGTAATCAAATCGTGACGAGTGAAATTCACGAGTATAGCATTTGATTACCTATTAATATCATGGGTGACGAATTACGTTAGCTATCTTGGATTTTTGACATGTTTATCCTTGATCGTATCGATCGAGAACTCCTGCGCTCTCTCGAACGTTTAGAGCTTAAATTTGGCTTAAGTTCAGCGTTTTTCGACAAAATACCTGTTAGAATCCTTCTTGTAATTTCAAATTACAAATTAACGCTGAAATTTCGCGCCAAAATTAAGGAGTAATTCGTCACCTATGATATTAGGACTTAAATTCTGGAGTATGCGACCTATAAATTGTGGTTTTAGAAGTTTGAAAGGCAAGGCGAGTGTTGTTAACCCTGTAAACAAGCTTTTTTCTCTCGGTTACAAAGTTCAACAGACCTTTTTTGTACCAGGAAAAAAAACGTGAATTAGGTGAACAACGTGAAACAAGCTTGCTGCTTAAGAGTCATTATAGTTATTGAAACGTCTTTTACTTTAGTAAAGATGCGTAACTTTAGTAGAAACAGTAGCGTTACGGAATAAAACTGGAAGAAGCTAGTTGACACTGGACTGCGAGCAGTCTCTTATTTTTCTTTGCAAAGTTACTGCACGAGAAACCCAAGCACGCGAGCGGGGAAGCCGCGAGCCGCGATAAACGAGGTCGTAAGCCCGAGAAGAAAAAATAAGAGACTGCTGACTCTTTTGTTCTGTCTGGGGACAACGACGCTGTCAGGGTAATTTAATTACTCAATTAAACCCGATTAACTTGAAACGATTTATAAATAGAACATAAACAACTGAAAAATTTTACTTTTTTTAAATCCGGTAAGATTGCCTTGAATTCCTTTTCCTTGAGGAAATTTACAGCAGTTTCCTTCTGTGAGATATTCTTTAACGTTTTAGTTAGTTGTGACGCGTGACTGTTTTTATCGTTTACGTCTCCACCACAGACCAGTCAATGATCTGTCAACAGCTGTAAAACTGACCAATGGGTTACTCCGTTTCTGAGCTGACGGAGAGTTTGTTTGCCACAAAAGAGTCCGCAGTCCGTCTTTTCTCGTCTGGTCCTAATCCCTTGTTCTAACATAACGTCGTGGTTTGCAATTGCGCTGGCTGAGATAAGAACTAGACGGATTTTAAGAGTCTAAGTTGACACAATAATTATATATTGTTTTATTGAGTGGAGTAACATAATATGAGTAGAAATGTATTTCGGCAGTTTGATAATTTTCTTGGAAGTTAATAAATGTTAGGCTATCAACCATGACGTTGCATGAAGCATAATTTAATTGCAGATGTTGTAATGAAGCCTAGGTTTTTTTTACGTACGAATTGTAAAAGGGCCAAATTCCAACATCTTCACGTGCAAATTGTGTGCATGAGTTATCTTTTCTGTTTACTCGATTACTGTGTGATAACTCGAATTCCCTCACGTACGAACCACGAAAGGGGCAAAGTCCAACACTTTCGCGTGCAAACTGTGTGATTCTACATATCCTTCTGGCTTTTCACAGTAATGATAGTAACTTTAACGTATGAAGATTCTTTAGTTTTGTAACCAGTGCTGAAGCAAAGGCTCTTTTCTTTTAAGAAGCAATAACTTAAAACACTTTTAGAATTAAGTCGTCAGAGTTAAAGACTGTTTCATTAAATTGGAATCGCACGTGACAACCTCGTGAATAATGATGATGCAACCATCTACAACAATGATGAAAATCGTGACATTTCTTAGCTATTCGGTATTCAACGACCTTTATTATTTTAAGAAACCATCAGGAAACCCGAAACCTTTGAGTCTTCCCTCTATTAAAGCAACGTTTTGGAAGTTGATATTCATAGTACTTTAGCAATTTGTTTATTTTACACCAGATGTCTGAAGGAAAGACAGAGAAGTGAATCTATATTATGAGGATCGAACCAGCTATGCGTAGCGGTCCTCATTTTCATTAATGTGCAGCTATACCCAATTTCGCACAAAAGATAACCTTAATCTAGGTATAAAAGAGTAGATTGCCGATACTGTTACACTGAAGCATGCAAAATAGCTCATGCACGTAAAACGTGCCTCTGTTTATGTTGGGAAGCGTGACATATTACGTAGGCTAACATGTAGGGGCAAAACAACCGGTCTTTCATCTGAGCCCGCGTGATGGACATGTGATATTTGTCAGCGGATGCCTGATTTTGACAGCTGTCAATTCATCTTCATACGGATTGCTTAATATAACTGACAGGCTGGTGTCAATTTATGCAAGATCTACTGTAATATATGACATCGGCTTACATGTAGTGGGTGTACGAGCGGCCAGGCGTACGCAACGTCATCAAATTTTCCTGCATCCATAGGTTTCCAATTTCTCTTATCAATGGGACCCCTCCGCGCGCTATAAATCAATTAAAAACCTTTTTGCTTCGGCGGAGCGCGAAGTAAAAGATTCGCGACGCTCAGGAATGTATCAAAGTTGCAATTTTTTGACAAGATTGGGCAAGCAAAGTCTGTAGGTTTTCGGTTCTATTCGGCTATTTGACGAAGTGAGAGCCGAATTAGTTCCAGATATCTCGAGATCACTTCGATTTCTTTGATATATTCTTTAACTTTTTCGAGGAAGAAAGAATTATTATTTTGGCTTTCCCGGGATTTCAACTACTTCACGAAGTGAGACCAAACTACTTCGTGATATCTTGAGATCACTTCGAGTTTAGTCTTTAATTACTCGAGGAATAAATAGAGGATATTTCGTGGCCGCCGAGAGACACGAAATTTCTCTTCGAGTGTTGAAAAACATTTCACGAGTGAGCCCTCCTTTCGAACTGCTTTGTGATGAATTCAAAGTTACAAAATGCTGCACAAAGACATTTTGTCTTTGTTGAGTGTTACGTAGTAAAATTGCTTTCATGCGTGCTTGACTTTCTCGAACGTTCTCTACTTTTTGGGATTATTCATGAATAATTAATTAGGGCATGTTTACATTTCAGCGTGAGTCAGCAGATTTGCATCAGTTACTGAAATCATAAAATAAGTCGAAAAGCTACTACTATTCGCCCGTTTAGTATTTTCTAGAACCTTATGTCAAACGGTATACAAGTTCCAAGCGAGGTCTTTTGACGAACTAAGTTTTTTTTCCCACGAGCTGGACTGCTGTGTTTAGTCAAGTGTGACAAAGGCCGATTTTCAAGTTCTGTGTTTACAAGTTGACGGAAGCCGTAAGATATCTGAAGTTCAAGTGAGAGTTTGTTATTTTTGGTAGAGGCTGTTTAGTTGTACTTAAGTTCAAGTCAAGTTTGTGTTGGCGGATGCTGTGTTTTTAAGCTCTGAAAAGGCTATGTTCCTTTGGTATTAAACTTCCTTGTGTTAATCCGACATTCCTGCGTGCTGATAGTCAGTGAATAATTCACAGGCAGCCCAAACTCACGTTACGAGGGAAGGGAGTAATGTAATTTACATACCATAGGTGACGCGCCGGTGTCGCGTTACAGGCGACCGTTGAAAATATAAGAGACTTTGTATGAGAAATATGTTACTGAGATCTGCGAACGCTAAATACCGCTAAACCTTACTTTTTCTTAAATGAAATGAGTAAAAAAGACTTACCTGCAATGTTACCTGTTGTCACCGTTGTCACTGTTGTCGCTGTTGTCACCGTTGCCACTGTTGTCACCGTTGTCACTGTTGTTGCTGTTGTCACCGTTGTCACCATTGACGCTGTTGTCACTGTTGTCACTGTTGTTGCTGTTGTCACTCTTGTCACCGTTGTCGCTGTTGTCACCGTTGTCACTGTTCTCACCGTTGTCGCTGTTGTCAGTGTTGTCACTGTTGTCCCTGTTGTCACCGTTTTCACTGTTGTAACCGTTGTCACCGTTGTCACTGTTGTCACCGTTGTTGCTGTTGTCACCGTTGTCACGGTTGTCGCCATTGTCACTGTTGTCACCGTTGTCGCCATTGTCACTATTGTCACCGTTGTCACTGTTGTTGCTGTTGTCACTGTTGTCACTGTTGTCTCCATTGTCACCGTTGTCACTGTTATCGCTGTTGTCACTGTTCACTGTCGTTGCCGTTGTCCCCGTTGTCACTGTTGTCGCTTTTGTCACCATTGTCGCTGTTGTCACTGTTGTCACCGTTGTCGCTGTTGTCACTGTTGTCTCCATTGTCACCGTTGTCACTGTTATCGCTGTTGTCACTGTTCACTGTCGTTGCCGTTGTCCCCGTTGTCACTGTTGTCGCTTTTGTCACCGTTGTCGCTGTTGTCACTGTTGTCACCCTTCTCGCTGTTGTCACTGTTGTCACCGTTGTCACTATTGTCGCTGTTGTCACTGTTGTCACCGTTGTCACTGTTGTCGCTGTTGTTGCTGTTGTCACTGTTGTTGCTGTTGTCACCGTTGTCACCATTGTCGCTGTTGTCACTGTTGTCACTGTTGTTGCTGTTGTCACTCTTGTCACCGTTGTCGCTGTTGTCACTGTTGTCACCGTTGTCACTGTTCTCACCGTTGTCGCTGTTGTCAGTGTTGTCACTGTTGTCCCTGTTGTCACCGTTTTCACTGTTGTAACCGTTGTCACCGTTGTCACTGTTGTCACCGTTGTTGCTGTTGTCACCGTTGTCACGGTTGTCGCCATTGTCACTGTTGTCACGGTTGTCGCCATTGTCACTATTGTCACCGTTGTCACTGTTGTTGCTGTTGTCACTGTTGGCACTGTTGTCTCCATTGTCACCGTTGTCACTGTTATCGCTGTTGTCACTGTTCACTGTCGTTGCCGTTGTCCCCATTGTCACTGTTGTCGCTTTTGTCACCGTTGTCGCTGTTGTCACTGTTGTCACCGTTGTCGCTGTTGTCACTGTTGTCACCGTTGTCGCTGTTGTCACCGTTGTCGCTGTTGTCACCGTTGTCGCTGTTGTCACTGTTGTCACCGTTGTCACTGTTGTTGCTGTTGTCACCTTTGTCGCTGGTGTCACTGTTGTCACCGTTGTCCCTGTTGTCGCTGTTGTCAGTGTTATCCTCGTTGTCGCTGTGGTCACTGTTGTCACCGTTGTCACCGTTGTCGCTGTTGTCACTGTTGTCACCGTTGTCACCCTTCTCGCTGTTGTCACTGTTGTCACCGTTGTCACTATTGTCGCTGTTGTCACTGTTGTCGCTGTTGTCACTGTTGTCACTATTGTCACTGTTGTCACCGTTGTCGCTGTTGTCACTGTTGTCATCGTTGTCACTGTTGTCGCTGTTGTTGCTGTTGTCACTGTTGTTGCTGTTGTCACCGTTGTCACCATTGTCGCTGTTGTCACCGTAGTCACTGTTGTTGCTGTTGTCACTCTTGTCACCGTTGTCGCTGTTGTCACTGTTGTAACCGTTGTCACTGTTCTCACTGTTGTCGCTGTTGTCAGTGTTGTCACTGTTGTCCCTGTTGTCACCGTTTTCACTGTTGTAACCGTTGTCACCGTTGTCACTGTTGTCACCGTTGTCACCGTTGTTGCTGTTGTCACTGTTGTCACCGTTGTCACGGTTGTCGCCATTGTCACTGTTGTCACCGTTGTCGCCATTGTCACTATTGTCACCGTTGTCACTGTCGTTGCTGTTGTCACTGTTGTCACTGTTGTCTCCATTGTCACCGTTGTCACTGTTATCGCTGTTGTCACTGTTCACTGTCGTTGCCGTTGTCCCCGTTGTCACTGTTGTCGCTGTTGTGACTGTTGTCACCGTTGTCGCTGTTGTCACCATTGTCGCTGTTTTCACCGTTGTCACCGTTGTCGCTGTTGTCACCGTTCTCACTGTTGTCACCGTTGTCACCGTTGTCACTGTTGTTGCTGTTGTCACTGTTGTCGCTGTTGTCACCGTTTTCACTGTTTTCACTGTTGTTGCTGTTGTCACCGTTCTCACCGTTGTCCGTTGTCACCGTTGTCGCTGTTGTCACCGTTCTCCCTGTTGTACCGTTGTCACTGTTGCCGCTGTTGTCTTTGTTGTCACTGTTGTCGCTGTTGTCACCGTTTTCACTGTTGTCACCATTGTCACCGTTGTCACTGTTTTCGCTGTTGTCACTGTTGTCGCTGCTGTCACTGTTGTCAGTGTTGTCGCTGTTGTCACTGTTGTCGCTGTTGTCACCGTTGTGACCGTTGTTGCTGTTGTCACTGTTTTCACTGTTGTAACCGTTGACACTGTTGTCGCTGTTGTCACCGTTGTCGCTGTTGTCACTGTTGTCACCGTTGTCGTTGTTGTCACTGTTGTCACCGTATCATGGTTGTTGCCGTTGTCAATGTTCTCGCCGTTGTCACCGTCGTCACCGTTGGCACTGTTGTCGCTGTTGTCGTCGTTGTCGCCGTTGTCACTGTTGTCACCGTTGTCACTATTATCACTGTTGTCACCGTTGTCGCTGTTGTCACCGTTGTCGCTGTTGTAACCGTTGTCACCGTTTTCACTGTTGTCGCTGTTGTCACCGTTGTCACCGTTGTCACTGTTGTCGCTGTTGTCACCATTTTCACCGTTGTCGCTGTTGTCACTGTTGTCACTGTTGTTATTGTTACTTCGGCGGAGTGCGAAGTAAAGGATTCGCGACGCTCAGGAATGTATCAAAGTTGCAATTTTTTGACAATATTGGGCAAACAAAGTCTGTAGGTTTTCGGTTCTATTCGGCTATTTGACGAAGTGAGAGCCGAATTAGTTCCAGATATCTCGAGATCACTTCGATTTCTGTGATATATTCTTTAACTTTTTCGAGGAAGAAAGAATTATTATTTTGGGTTTCCCGGGGTTTGAAACGACTCGCCTGTGTGACCTGTCAGATCAGAGGAGACTCTAAGTTGAGGGATTAGCCGATTGGGTTCTTGCGACCTAAGGTTTTTTTGGGATATGAAAAATAGTTATGAAATGATGCACTAGTTTCGGGACAAGATTGAGCGTGCAAGTTCGTGACTTTTCGGCTTGTTTCAATTATTTCACGAAATGAGACCGGACTACTTTGATTGTCGTTTATCAAACACCAAAATGCAGTGGAATACATTGCAGGTAAGTCTTTTTTATTCATTTCATTTAAGAAAAAGTAAGGTTTAGCGTTATTTAGCATTCGCAGATCTCAGTAATATATTTCTCATACAGTCTCTTATATTTTCAATGGTCGCCTGTAACGCGACACCGGCGCGTCACCTATGGTATGTAAATTACATTGCACCCTTCCTTCGTAACGTGAGTTTGGGCTGCCTGTGAATAATTATCCTCAAAACATTCGAACTCGTAACAGCCAATTCCATGCTCAAAGAAATTGACTCCTTACCCATGCCTCACATATCTTTAATCAGTACATGAGACTGCTATGCTGTTTTTGAAGCCTGATGTGACTAAGAAAAATAGAGAGTTCTTTTTTCACTGTTTGTTTTGTTAGACTTGTTATTCACGGCCAGTAACCTCATATTTGACTTAGGTCTAAACGTTTAGACCCAAGTCAAATTTAGAAGGATTTGTATGGAGTCATCTGAGCATAACTGGGCTAACATCTCAGAGACAATTTGTCCCGAAAGGCTACTTTTTGGCAAGTAGGCCTCTTGGATGTTGCTCTTTTCGGAATATCCTGACAAATCCCATAATTTCACAAATTAACACCTTAGTCTTACCATATCTCATTTCTTACTATTCCACCGCATTTACAATTAATCAGTTCCACAACCACGACGCCGAAGTGTACGCTCCGTAGCGTCTTGTTTCGCATGCTTTTCAATATAGTTTTATTCATAATTTTCATGACTATAATACCCGATGTAGGAACAATTTTAGGAAAGACGTAGTCAAAAGAAGGTGGGGCCTTTGGACCAGTATTAACTTAGTTGCAAATGAGTGGAATTCCCTTGATCTGTCACTTAGGGGAGCCGCTTATTTACCCAGTTTTAAACGAAATGTTTTCAAAGTGACTTTTGAATTGCCTATTTATTATTAGATGTTTTGTATCTCCTTCATTACATTTTTGTGTGCTATTAAATATATTTATTGTTCATTCAAAATATTTCCCCAATTCTGATTGGCTAAAAGCACACGCATGATTCACCATAGCCAGTTACTGATGACCAAATTTGGAAGAATTTTGTGTTTAACGAGGAAATGACGTCCAAAATGCAGCCTTCTACAGGTTAATGCACCGTTAACCGAGAAGACCTGGGGACGAGGTTGAGTTGTTTTCGTTGTGAAAACTAGAATGGCGGACACTTCACTCGTTTCAATAGTAAGAACTACAGCTGGAACTAGGCGAAATAATGGCTAAAAACGTAACAAAGACAGCAAGAAGACAACTCGGAGGGCGACATCTGCTATTTGGAGAATATTTACGCAGCTGGACAAACGTAAACGTCCACTATCGAAGATAAACTTAACATCGATGCAGGTAAGCATGTTTTAGCTATGTTTTTAAGCTAGGAATTATTTTGATTGAATACTAAAACAATTCATGATCTCGGAGGGTGTTATCCACCTAGGCCTTCGGCCTCTGTGGATAACACCCTCCTCGATTTTTTTAATTCTTCATATTCTACTCATTGCTAAGTAAATACATTTGAAAACTGAGATTTCAGTTTCCAAATTCGTGTTTATTTAAATCTGATTTTTTAACTTTCATCATGCAAATTATTATTTTGTTATTGGTTTTAGTCTTAGAGGACCCTTCTGTAAATCACTAGTTTAAGTGAAGTTGATATCCTCAATAAATTGTTAATTGTTTTCCATAGTCATCCTCAGTGACACTAAATCGTTCAGTGATGCCACAGCATAAGAAAGCTGTTACTTTTTGCCAAGCTGTTTTCCTTCCCGGAGTCATCCCTGTGAGTACATTTTTGGTGATGATTGTAACCAAATGTCGTTTTCGGCTATTGTGTTACCACTCCTCTACGTGTTTAGCTACATATGTAGGATCATTTATACATTTAGGTATCTTTTAGTTATAATCTATTCATTTATTCATTTATTTATTTAATATTTATTTTAAGGCAGAATAATTTTACATGGTCTGTAGGTCTGTAATACTTGATCAGTTAGTGTCAGTTTAAGGTTTGATGTCCTGGGAAGAATCACCTTCCTCCAGCAGTAATTGCTTCTTTTTTTTTCTTCCAATAGTATTCACTCTCCTATGCTTGCCTTAAACTAGTCAACTACTCTTTCTTTTTCTGGCTGCCTTTTTATTTATCAAACAGTAAGTGTTCTTTGTGATTCTTCTCTTGTTTGGTTATTGTTATTGTAAATCAATTGGTAATACCACGTTTGAGAGAATGAAATTCTGAGGTGAAGAGGATTAAAGTATGGGGTGGGTTTAGCACAGATTCGCGCAAAAATCTGACCAGAAATTTTGTTTAGAGAAGTGTGTCCGGAGCACTTTTAATTTTTCTCTCATTGGCAGCAAGGATATAAAATTATGCAGTGTGATCCACTTTTTTTGCAGCTGTTCAAAAGAACGTTCAGTGTCGTCTAGCTTGCGAATTGGTGCAGTAAAAAATACGTCTTCATTGAAAGGCTGCCGTTAAGTGTCGACCACTTAAGAGTAAAAAGGAAGTGAAGGTTGTGTTTGGCCCTACCTGAGCAGAGTCCAGTTCTGCTCACCAGAACAGAAGTAATATGAGCTTAGTTCGCTGACATGGCCAATATTATAATAACTACAATCTTGGACAAAATAGAAAGAAAATTCATTATACCCCCTTCCCCCCAACATCAAGGATGGGAAAATAAAGCGTTTTGGCTTTTGCGCTGCTTCATCCTTGATTAGGGAAGATGGGGGTTTCATTTTATTCTGTCCAAGATGGTACGTTGAACCAAGTATTACTTTTGAAATGGTCTTACAAGAGTGTAGTCCTCTGTTTTGCTATAGCCTGCGTAGCAAGTGTTTCGGTGCTGTTTCGGAGTAAAGAAAGACCTACGAGCGAGATTTTCGGTTTCGGCCGCGCGAAAAATGGAACGAGACTCTCACTCCTCGGTCTTTCTTTGCTCCGAAACAGCAAGGAAACGCTTGCAACGCAGGCTAGTTTTGCTTCAAAACCGGTTACCGACTCCAGTTTACTTTCTGAGCAAAATCAATGTTTTCAGAGTTTGGCTGGAAGGACACTGTTGCTGATAAGATTTCAACATTTTATGACATTGGAGGGATTGTAGGTTAGTGAAGTCTAAAATTATTGATTGTCGGAAATTAAGTGTTTTTCTTGTAAAATTGGATGATGATTAATTTTTTGGTCAGAATGAAGGGAAAAGAGGAGGGACCAAAGAAAGTACGTATTTGTGTTTTCAGCGGTCATGATGTACGACACACGTTATCATCTGGAAGAAAACGAATAAGGAAGTGTTCTAGTCTTCTTGTTTTCAACATTACAGTACAAGTGAACTCTTTTCAGTAAAGTTTCACTTTTTTGTATGGACCAGGACAAAGCAATAATACAAAATATTGCATCAAAACGTGTCAATCAGAACCACGTCAGAAAGTGACCAGCTTCCTACTAAATTGCCATTGTTATAAGGAAAGATCAGATTGTATTTGTGATTTTAAAATTTTCCGAATACCAGATTGTTTCCTTATGTCAAGTTCATCTTCTCTTTCAGGTGGCATAGCAGGCGGACTGATCAGCGTTAGTGATTACTCTTCAAACACAACCTAGTAATCCCCGTCCTATCTGATTAGAATATCAGTTGTAGCAGTAGGCTGAGTTCATCTTTTGTACTAAGTTAATCTTAACTATGACAAGATTCTCGAATCTGATCGGCCATCAGCTGTCCTGATTTCAGCATTAATAGGACAGTACGCGTCATGCGTAAGTAATTGGACAGTGCGCGCTATCAGGCGCGCGCACTTGAATGTTTTTTTTTTCTTGACTTAGCTAGCAAAAAACTTGCTCTTCAGACTGTAGAAAAGTTTAGAATATAACAAATTTAGCAACAGGACTTCGTGTCGTCCAATTCTGTCTGTAATCATACTCGGTCGGCCTCCCACTACGCGGTCGTCTGTTAATCATTCGTATGATTACAGACCGAATAGGCTATTTTCACGGTGAAGTAATAGACCAGTTTATATATATTAAAATTCATACTTGGCCCCAAGGCCTGGGGGAATAAAACAAAAGAAATGTATTATTTATTATTGAGCCTCAAGATCATTTCCTTTGTTTTATTCCCCCAAGCCTCGCAGCCAAGTATGAATTTTCATCTATCGGAATTGGTCTATTTGACTAAAACTACTAGAATGCATTTCGTCGTTGCTTTCTTATTCAAATTGATCAATCCCGCAGAGGTTTACAAGAAAAAAAGAGGTGCACAAGAAAACAACAAACTGAAGGATTCTGGTATTTGTATTAAAATGACGCCATCGTTCGTGCAACTGGCCTATTGGACCCCACTCAGTCTATTACCGTTATATACAGCGTATTGATGAAGGCAATAATACACTTTATTACTTTTGTCGTTGTTTTTATTTAATTGTTGTATGTCACTCTATTTTTGTTTTGTAATATCTGGAATGATCGACGACGAATTTAGTGTTATTAGCTGAGGCCTTGACTGATAATAAATCTTTCCGGTAACTTAGTTTTTCCTACGGATATCACTTAAAACGCTATCCAATAATCGTTTGTTGTTGCTTACACGCTTTGATTATTCCATTATTTTTTCAGGATTTGATAGGAAAGCGCACTCCCTTAGTAGTAGCGATGCTGATGGTCTCAGTACCTATGCTTTTCATATATGGAAGTAAGGAAAACGTTCTTTGTAGATTCACTTAAAAGTAAAATGTCTAACAATCTCGTTTGATACTCAATAAGTCTCGTACCCTAACTAGTTTTGGAGTTCACACAATCACTACCAGATAAATATTACACAGTCCATTCAATATTTTGGTTCTGTAAGCACAAAGCTTGTTTTTCTCTCTATTCTATACCTGGTGTTTTTTTCTAAATCAATTTTTATTTAAATTTCTGTAACATTCTTTCTTCTATAATGTAGCTTAATATTTTTCAGATGCAGGTTTTTTTTGTGGTTTATTATTTACCCATGTGCATGTAGTTACTTTTACTGGTCTCCATTCATCTCAGGTACAAGTGGTAGTTACGTATTAAATGCTGCTCTCATGTGTGTCACTGGTGAGTACTACGTTCGTACAAGTGAAGTTTTTTAATGTTATGATGCCAGACAGACCCTTCGTCCATCGCTTGTAGTAAGTGTATAACAACAGTGGTGACGGTAAATGTATAGGCTGGGTACCCCGACCATTTTTTAATTCGTGGATTACCCGTAGCGCAAGGAACGAGTTTTTGTGGGCACTGTCACTCAGGTGTGGGCACTTATTTAGCAATTAATGAACGAGGCTGAGTAGGATATGAAGAATTATGCAGATCGAGTTCGGCCCCGGTGGATAATACCCTTCGATATCTGCTTAATTCTTTATAGCCTACGAAAGCCGAATTCATTAATTGCTTTATATTCATTCAAAATAATTCCTAGTTTAAAAACAAGCTAAAACATGCTTACGTTCGTCGATGTTAAGTTAACCTCGATAGTGCATGTTTAGAAGATAAGGGGCTGTTCTTGTCTGCAAATATACTCCAAATAGCAGATGTTGTCCGTCGAGTTGTCTTCTTGTTATGTTTTGAGACAATAGTTCGTCGTGAAACGAGTAAAATATTCCGCCGACTGGTCGGCCATTTTTCTTTCCACAACCAAAACAACTCAACCTCGTACCCAGGTTTTCTCGGTTAACGGTGCGTTAACCTGCAACTGTGCTGCACTCTTCGGTTGATTAATCGCAAAATTCTTCCAAATTTGGTCAACGGTAACTAGTTATGGTAAATTATGAGTGTGCTTTTAGCCAATCAGAAGAGGAGAAATATTTTGAATAAATAATAATAGTAATTGGTCGGCTCGCACGAAAGTGCCCGATATCAAAACGACAATTGTCGCAGATCGATCGTTTCCAAACGTCCCCGCGATAAAGAAGTACTGAGCGTGCATTGTGCCCAGAGCTTTCGATGTTATGATTTTGTAGCTTCCATAGGACGATAAGTTGTCTTCATGTAGTCTTTGAATCTTTCAAATTAGCACTATGGCCTACTTTGAGACAAACGTTTATGAACTTTTGAAGCTTTTTGCCTCGTCCAGGCGATAAACATGATGAAGAGATCAGCAATTGCTCTTCGACTCCCCAAGTGGTCCAAGCTCAAGATTCTGTCGTGAGTCTCACGATTTTTTAACTTTCTCACGGCCTTGCGACAAGACCCCCAATCTCGCGGGTTTTTGAGAAATATCATTCTAAAATGAAATGTTTCTTTGTTGAATAAAAACAGAAATGTTTACTGTTGGTGACTTCGCAATAGTTTTGCTTTGTCGGCCATTTCAAATGCGACGAAACCTGCGAGAAAGCGCTCTGGGGCGCTCTGGCGGCGGGGCGGGAAAATGAAGGAGAGCTTGTGGCTCCCCGTGTGGCTCCCCGTCGACTGTGCTGTCAGATTTCCGCCAATCGGCGCGAGGCGGAACGGAGCGCGAATGTAAGCAAACATTGAAAAGCACGTGTGAATGGTAATGACGTCATTACAAATGTCATCTCCGCCAATCAGCATGTCGCATCGACTTTTTCGATGCAGATATTCAAATTCCAGAGACGTAGTTGCAAGTTCTCCTTCCTTTTCCCACACCGCCGCCAGAGCACCCCGAAGAGCTTGCTCGCAGGCTAAATGCGACGTTATGAGTTCAGGTATGGCTTTTACCGTCAAAACCCTGCTTATTTTCCTCGAATATACGTCTGAATTCTTCATTATTAAAGCTCTGCTAGCTTCAAACAGCGTCTACCGGCTAAATAGACTTCATGGGCAAAGACGTTAAAGAATTAATCAGACATGAATGTTCAACACTTGGTGCTGTGGCGCAAAAGATATTGCAAGGAGCTTACACATCAATGGTCTGGGGTCCGACTCCCCCCAGGGGAAACCTTTTTTTTTTTGTTTTTGGTCGTTTTGCTTTTGTTTTCTTAGTTTAGCTTAGATAGAGATAGATAGATAGATAGATAGATAGACAGACAGACAGACAGACAGATAGATAGATAGATAGATAGATAAATAGATAGATAGATAGATAGATAGATAGATAGATAGATAGATAGATAGATAGATAGATAGATAGATAGATAGATAGATAGATAGATAGATAGTTTATTCTGAGTAAAATCGCAGCCAAAAGCTGAATTAGATTAATCGTTACAACAATAAAATCTAATAAAAATATGAGAAAAAATATAGGAAAAATGTACACATATGTAGCTAAAAATTTAATTACAGTTGCTATATATAAATGTGTTCTTTGAGTCTCTTAGCTTAGTTTTTTTAAAAAACATATTTTCACTTTTTGACAGACTTGGGTGCGTTCCTTTGAGATGATCCGGATTAGGATCAGTGGTCAGAGATCAATCGGATCATGGTAGATCAAATGAACCGATGAATCCACTCTGGAAAAGGATTCATCAGTTCATTTGATATACGGACCATGATCCAAGTGATCTCCAATCACTGATCCTGATCCGGATCATCCCAAAGGAACGCACCCTTAAATAATACCGGTAGACTAATTGCAAGTTCATTATCGGCCTTCCCTTTTGAAATAAATAATCCACGAGTTAGCCATAAGCACCCTTTGATTCTTGGCCAAATAAATGTGGCTGTTCGTGAACGTTCGCGCAATTAGTTTCTTACAGTTTCTTACAGTTTCTTGACTGAGCCGCCCATGAATATCTTTGTAGGGTTTTGGATTGGAGGTCCTGCGAACTTGATTAGTTCTGCTATATCTGCTGATCTTGGAAGACAGGTATCATGAGTATTCTGTGCATCGTATAGTTCTTTAACGTAGGAAATTGATACTTCTTTGGGAGCCAATGTTAGAAGCACGAGGAGAGTTTTATCTGATATCAGGTTGATATCCATCCACTGAGAAATGGATTGATTAAGCTCGTTCGTATAAATATTGAGAAATGTTAGCTATAGTAAGGTTACTGTTCAGTCCTCTCCCGTCTAAAGATTTAAAGTGAGTAGTAACTATTTGTCATCTGCATTACTTTTTCTTAATAGAGTGCTATCAGTGCAGACAGTGAGGCGTTAGCTACAGTAACGGGGATCGTAGATGGTACAGGAAGTGTGGGCGCTGCCATCGGACAGGTGATAACATGTCATGACTCCATTACGAACTTCCACCTATAAATACACACGATTCGACAAATACTTCACCACGAGATTCAATTTCAATTCTTATCAAGATTCTCGAACTAAATGACTATTAGCAGTCTTGGAACGGGCACTCGCCTCGCCTGACGTAATTGGGCAGTACACATCATCTCCCACGTTTCCGATGTTGTAATAACACAGTTAGCGTTCATTTATATTTATTAGCGTTGCGTTAGTGAGGGCCGTAACGGTTCCCTTCCCCCAAGAAAGAAAGACCACACTACCGAGGTCGACGTCCCCTACTCTTACTACTCTTTTTACACAGTAGCGTGACTGCACGATAAAGCGGCGTTATAGCAATGGAAGACAAGGTGTTATCTTACCAGGTTTTCAAAGAGACCCTGGTTGGTGGGACAGGACCCGCAATGGAACTCGCCACCTCCGCTTAGGAGCCTGGCAATTTTTGTATTGTTCCCCTTTAGTTGATTCTTTGTCGTCCTCGTCTTGTTGTTTTGCCAAAAGACAGTTACAGTTTAAATTCAAAGCTTAACCGCTAAGTACCAATTTAAAGTATCACTGTGTTTATGTCGGATTGATTAATTTGTAAGACAAGTTCGGGTTGGTAAATTGTCTGCAATCATTAATCTTTGTAATCATGCCGGACTCTCAGGATTTGGACCTTGGGTACCAGAGGTCCTTATGTTATGTTTTCTCCCTTTATATCTAGTTTCTTGTTCCTGAAATCAATACCCACAGTGGATGGAAACCTGTGTTTTACTTTTTGATGGTCATGGTAAGAGTAGTTCCAAGAAGAGATGAGTCCTTCTATTTTCGTATTTCAGCCTACCATTTTTCTTTAATCAATTTGGCAATAATATCCTTTTTTGCTTCTTGTTCCAATCATTTTCGGAAACAAAGGCCACATTTGAAAGGCCTTGGATCACTGGAGGGAACAGTCGGAGTACTCTCGGTGCTTTTGTCATTGAAGCCGCCAGCCTGGGAAACTTGACCACGAAATAGCTTGATTTTAGACCCTGAGGTTTGCAAAATCTTTTTTAAAGACTTTGAGCATCAATAAGCGTACGTGCCGTACATGCAAGCAATTGCAAGTTACTGATGTCGGCCATCCTTGTTCCCACTCATGTTCTGACCACCTGCTACTTTAAGGTGATTCAAAATGGCAGCATTTGAAATAAAAGAAATTTTGTCGGAGCATTTGAATTCAAAGGAAATGCTTCTGCTTATTCCTTTAGAAATTACCACTTACCTATACTTTCCATCATTGACTACGGGAGTAAATGGGTTAAATAACTGTCATTAGGAGTAATTTCAGGCACGAAACAGCTATTGTCTAGTACAACACAGTTTCTAACACTCTGTTCCTTTGCTGCCTTTTCACCACAGCTGCGCCCTTTTCACTTTACAGCACGACAGGTTTTATGACCAGGGCACTTGTCTTTCTTTCTTTCAGGCTTTCATGAGTTTTATTTGCCTTCTTATACTACCTGTTATCAAGTTCACACGGTAAAGCCAATGTCAAGGAGCTATTAACTTTTTTGTTAAACTGTGTTTTAGCCTTCATTCTATCACGGCAATTAAGGCACAGTGTAGTCGTTTCTTCTAATTCTTTAAAAAGAATTTCTTAACTTCTCGTGTTGTTGTAGTTGTCGTTATTGTTGTTGTTGTGTTTGACTCTAGAGAAAAATACGGGAGAATCGCAACATTGGCAAGTTGATTAAAATATAAGAGGGCATATAATTACACAAATGTTTTGACTGACGTAATATTGATATTTGATATGAATAATGGAAATTCTATTAGATGGCCCTTTCTTAAACTGAGAGATATGCAGTGACGTGCAGAATGGGCGAGACGTTATGAAACATCTTATACATTAGCTTCAGATTTGATAACTTTTACAGTGGAACCTCGATATAACGAACCTCTATATAACGAAGTGTCCTCGGTATAACGAACGATTTACTTTACCCCACTAATACTAAAGTATATGGAAAGGAACCTCGTTATAGCGAACACATTTTGCCAGTCCCTTGGCCCTTCGTTATATCGAGGCCGTTCCCCTGTACCTAGTTATTACAGTCAAGCCAGGTCAAGCGTACCCCCCAAAATCCATTAATGAATTTATTATTCGAAAGTTGAGTCCGTTGGCAGTTGTAGATTTCAGATTCATCTCTACATTCTTGCATGCGTAGTGAGCCGTGAATTCACACGCGATTCAGTTACGACATTTCTACCAGCTCAGTTTCCCTGAATTTGATGTAAATGTCTTCTAAGAACTTTAATTTATTCAAAGATTTTCAATCTGACCAAATACAGACAAGTTCTCGTAAATTATTCACTGCTCATTACGCATGCAGTAATTCCGATTTGAATATGACACCAGTTACGGGAACGACTAACGGATTCATTTTTCAAATAATCAATTCATTAATAGAATCTTGGGGGGTACGCTTGACCTGTTTTGACTGTAAGTGTCCCCTTTAGCGCGGGCAAGTTCTTCCACCGATGGAAAGATACCAAGGAGGATACCGATGGCAAGATACCTAGATCAACTGCTTTACCACAATCATTGAACCGTTGGTTTTTTTGTAAACAGGTTCTTCGATTCACACAACCGTTTTTCCTTACTGTAGTATATCCCTCATTGACCTTGTTCATCGTACACAATGTTAATAACCTAGGGATGGCTTAGAAGGCTTCCGGTTTTTGTTAAACAATTTCTAAACTCCATCTAAGTATTCGGCCCTTGCAGTGTGTTTACTCTGTATGTCTATATCAAGTTAGTGAGCCAAGAGCGAGCTAGACATGTTGAGCATTTTTTGTTTTCAGAGCGCTGTTATACAGAAACCGCCCGCCTCTTTATTACCAAGTAATTGACAGTGACCAACCGGAGTACATTCCACCCGCACAATCCAAGACCTTTGAAGCAAATACGTGAACCAGGTTGGTCTATTCTGACACCACTTATCAACACCGTCCTCCTCACGCTACTATGATACAGGGCTTTTTTACCGGTAGAAGGATACAACCCACAAAAAAACGTTTTTAAGGCGGAACTTGTACAGTGGAAGCCTTCTTAACGGACACCCTCTAAAGAGGACCGCTCTTCTTACGGCCCCATTCACAAAACCCCGTTATAACTGTCACACAAACTCTTTGTTTTTACATTCCTTTAAGTGAACATTCCGTTAGGCGGCCGGGGACACTTTAAGGCTTACGAGTTAGATTTTATCTTTGTTTTTAAGCTACAGTAAGCGGGCACCCAAAATGAAATCCCTCTCTGAATCTTGTATTTCAATAATCAACTTCATATTGCTGTTGGTCACAATGAATTCATATCAGCTTCAGTGTTTGTTTGTTTTTTCATATACACGTCCGGTTACTCTTTAAAACACCACTTGAATTTTGTGCTTATGACTGAAATACAATATTGTCAGAACAACAGCATTCGCCGCATACGAGAACCATTGTCGTAAACGGCCACCTTCAGTTACGGACACCTTTTTGGCGTTCCGAGGGTGTCCGCATACCAGAGCTTCCACTGTATATATATTACCTCAGTGGAGGACCCACCCAGTGGTCAGGGGCATGTAGATACCTGTACGCACGTCCGCAGCTGAAAAAATGGCTGGGTTTAACAAAAAATAGAAAGAAAAACCAAAAATACAGATGTAAAACACACGCACATTAAGTCAGTACAGCAGGGTTCCGGGCGGTGGTTGGGTTTTGCGTTCCACAGACACTTAATTTTGTAGACTCGATACTGGTGTAACTATAGAAAAAAGATCTAAAAGTCGTAACTGTGCATCAGTAGGATGCCTAAAATGTGTGCAATTCCACAATTGGTTTCGGCGCGATTAAATCCTATGCCAAATGTAGAACATTTTAGGAGGAGTCACCCACGATGTGAGCACAGTTACCAACAAGGTATATTAGTAGGATAATCATAACTATAAAAAAATTGTCAAATCTGCCTTAACTGGACAGTTTAATAGGACAGTACGCGTCATGCCTAAGTAATTGGACGAGTTTGACTAATAGTCGCGGGTCGCGGGTCGCGGGTCCACTGTCGCGGTCGCGGGTCCAAAGTCGCGGTCGCGGGTCCAATGTCGCGGTCGCGGGTCCAATGTCGCGGCAGGGGAAAATTATTTGGAGTTCGACGTAACTGAGAGACAACGAGTGATATGAAAAAAATATAAAGGGAAAAAAATCGTTACGATCGCCAATTTACAGGTTACAGATGTTACAGTCAACAAAGTAATGTCTCAAGGAAAGACCTTAAAGAAAAAGCTGGCCGACTTTTGTGTTCGCCGCAAGTTCATTTTGTTTTCTTTCTATCGGGCCCAGTTATGTATAAATTCAGCTTTGAATGTACTTATGCATAACAGTATCTGATAAAAAAGTTACCATAAGTTACCATTGCTTTCTCCTTGGCTATCAATTGCTCACAAATTCTTAGGGGTGCATTCACTGAAAAATGTGCGATACACTTCATAGACTATAAATTATAAACGTTACAACAACTTAAAACCTTTTTTAAAAAAGGCTAACTCGGGCTCGAAAAGCTACGAGTCTGTTGGTAGAAGAAACGAGAACTGTTTCAATTTTAGCAAATGTTTTCGGCAAAAATAAAGAAAACGCTTGTTGAAAAACTTCCTGGTTGCTGTTACGAAAAATTGTATAGCGTGACTAGTGTGACTTTCTAGAAGCTTCGCGAGAGTTCATAATTTGTTTATTTTAGGATCTTGTGTAAGCGTTTCTAAAAGCGGTATATTTTGTGATCTTTCTATAATTAGACTAGTTGGAAAGTTCTAGAATCTTATTGTAAACGTATATATTAAAGGTAGGCGAGCCCGAGTTAAGTTTTAACTAGTTTTCAAAAGCGAAGAGAGTTTGATGTTGGTCGTGTTTAGTCAAGTGTGACGAAGGCAGTGTTTATTCAAGTTGGCGGAGGCCGTGTAAGTTTAACGAGTTACGTGCTGTTGTGGAGTTTTACTCAGTGGAAACTACGTTCATCTTTGGAATAAACCTTCTTGTTGCTGTTCCGACAACCCTACGTTCAGTTTAGTTTGCAAGCTACCCGTCCTCTAAAAGATTACCCGCGTAACAGTCGCAAACTCCCAAAATAAACTCTTTGCACAAGTAACTGGAAAGAGGAGGAGAGACGTTGGGCTTGAAGTGCCAGTAAAGTACATTCAAGCGGGTATTCAAGGCATGAATTTAATAAAAAACAAGTAATAATCCACAGCAAGAGGGGATAAAGCTCGAGCTTTATCCTCTCTTGTGCACAGAAAAGAGCTCGAGTTTGTTCCCACTAACGATTGAAATCCGGAATCCAAGTTCTACCAGGAGAGAATAGATCATAGTCTCTTGGTTCTACTGACAAAGACTTGAATCCCGGACTTGAATCCAGTACCTGGAATCTGGAATTACTTACCTAATTTATTGTCTTTTCTTAGCTCTGGTGGAGTTGATAACTTACCGTTTTCAGTGTCCGGTTTTCTTTCTTTTTCAGCTTCATGATATCGGGCGTTATTATTTCCTTAGCTACTTACTCACTTATTTACGATGCATGTTTTCAAGATTTGACTGAGACGCACATTGAATGGCTTCCTATTGTCAGGTTGTCCTGGTTGCCATTTAGGTGAAGAGAACAAGAAGTTATATTGAACACTCTGGGTCGCCGTCTCAGTTGTAAAAGTAAAAGCATTAAGCGAAAATCTTGCTTCGAGGAACAGACTCCTTTCTGTGGATTATTACTTGTTTCCACATTAAATTCATGCCTTGAATACCGCTTGAATGAAGTTTCATGCGCCTATTTACATTTTCTTTCAGTTTTGCCGAAAACATTTGTTAAATATAAGAGTTCTCGTTTCTTCTACCGACAGATTCGTAGCTTTTTGAGCCCTAGTTGGCTTTTTTTAAAAAAAGGCTTTAAGTTGTTGTAACGTTTATAATCTGTAGTCTATGAAGTGTATCGCATATTTTTCAGTAATTGAACCCCTAAGCATTTGTGAGCAATTTATCGACAAGAAGAAAGCGATGGTAACTTATGGTAACTTTTTTATCAGATACTGTTATGCTTAAGCATATTCAAAGGTGAATTTACACATAACTGGGCCCGATAGAAAGAAAAAAATATAAACTTGCGCTAAACACAAAAGTCGGCCAGCTTTTTCTTTTAGGTCTTTTCTTGAGACATTATTTTGTTGACTCTAACATCCGTAACCTGTAAATTGGCTACCGTAGAGTATCGTGCATAAAAAAGATTTTTTTCCTTTTATATTGTGTTCATATCAGTCGTTTTCACTCGGCTGTTACCTCGAACCCCAAATCATTTTCCCCTGCCGCGACATTGGACCCGCGACCGCGACTTTGGACCCGCGACCCGCGACCCGCGACTATTAGTCAAACTTCTTTTTTTTTCACTGCTAGCAAAACAAAATTTCGAATTTCTTGTGTTTTGGTTTAAAAAATAGCCTATTGTATCAAAAATTTTGTTAAAGT